TGAGTGTACATTCTCCTGTTCTGCTAAACTGATATTTCCTGACAGCATCTAGACAGAGTAAGTAAATTTAGTTTGCAGATGAAGGAGAAATGTGTATTTTAGAATAATACAGAGAACAATAATATCTTGAAACAATGCATTGGCAAACTCTGTTACTATTTAGCCAGTATGGCTGGTTGACAATATTGGGAGCTGTAGGACTTTTCTCTTTCTGGATAGGACTTCCCCTAAATTAATCAGGCAATAGCTTCCTAATTCATATCTCTTTCCTGCATAAAAATAAATTGAATTGACAGATCTCTCTGAAATATTTAAAGGAATTGCACTCCTGTGCTGCAACATGTTCACAAGACACTTCAGGGGTAAACACAGGAAACAATAATATGGATCAGGCCAGAATTTCAAAATATGCCTCTATAAGAAGGTGTAGAGAATTGTTAGGGTATCTTTGAATTTGTGTTTATGGGTCACTGAAAGGACTGGCCAGCTTGAGAGACTCTCCTGAGTCCAATAGAGAACAATAGAAAGTCAAAATATGCTGACTTTTGTCATTATCTTGGCCCTGAATAAGGAAAAGCCCAACATATTATTCCAGTAAATGGCACCGTTGCTTTTCTTTATCATTGCTATTTTTATTGACATCTTAATCTAAAGCAATTAGTTTGGAGGAAATTTGACCATTTACAAAAAATGTTCTGCCTACTGGAAGATAAATTCTGATGTGGCTGAATCCAAATGAACACTGACAGAGTGAATTACAACTTCTCCAAGGGAGTCACTGGCCCAGAGGGGGAAGGCAGAGGTGGCCAAAGGTCTTTATAATAAAAGGACAAACAATACAAGATGCAAAGGCATGAGGGTAGCTTAGGAACACTTAAAGTGAAAGTGCCAGGGAGGTGGGGTTGGATCCAGATGTCAGTGTGTGCACCTTGGCTAGTTAAAGCTGACTTCTTTCTTGTTCTCCCCTGCAGAGGAGGGCGGGACATGCTCCAATGGAGCAAAGCTCAGGGATCCAAGATTCATTTTAGATGTCAGGAAGCACTTCCTGACAGTTAGGACCCAGAGGGTGTGGAATGGGCTTCCACAAGAGGTCGCTGAGGCCCCATCGGTGCGGGTGTTCGAGGATAGGCTAGACATGTACATGGTGGGCATGTCGTGAGCGGAGCTGCCTGGAGCCAGGAGTCAGACTAGATGGCCCGGGAGACCCCTTCTGACTTGCTGTTTCTGTTTCTCTGCTTTATTCTCCTTACACCAGTCCCTTCAGTTCCCTGAGAAAGCTACATGGGGAGTCTTGTTGAATGGAGCTATGGTCTGGTGGATGCCCAAGAACTAAGGCAAAAGCACTCTCCTCTATGGAAACGGAGCTTATAGAAAGTGCCTCCAATCAGTTCAGGGGCTTGACCCCTTCCTCACTTAGGGGCCAGTGAGTGACAAGCTGTGAAACTGTATTTGTGAAGCTGAGGAGTCACTTTCTTTTTCCTTTTATTTTTCTTCTAAAGGAACCAGAAGCAAAGACCTTTAGCAAAGATAGTTTGCAGGAGCTTGAAATAGTTCTGGGAAATCCAGGGAAGGAATAGGGCTTCTCCCCCTTTTTATATGGCATGATTTCAGCCACCTTCTGGTCTGCAGCTCTACTAGACCCCCAAAGAAAACAAAACATACAATTACTGCTTTCATTCACTGTTTCTGCAATTTGATATTTTATGCCTGTTTTCAGAATTCCATTACTTTTTGCCTCAGTGCTGTTTTCAAAACTGCAAATTACCTTACTAACTTCCTCCCTTTTTCATCCAACTTGAGTCTTCATCTTTGGCCTCTAATTCTGTGTAATAAAAAGGCAAACATTGTGCAGAGTGAGTTTCTCCCCGTTTTTTCTTTGCATCACGCTAGGACTAAAGGAACACTCCAGGAAAAAAGAAGTATTGACTCCCATCTCTAATATAATTTGCCCTCCCTCTTGTTTCTATATCCTGCTAAACTAGGCAAAGCACAAATTCGCAACATTTTCCCTCACTGTGCATCAAACCACCGTGTGGTTCAGTGAGGGCAGTTCAAGGCGTTGTGGGTGGTGGCGGGCAGTTGATGTTATTTGTACGCTGCCCTGTAACAAAGCGTTCTTACACGGACTGAACTCATTTACAAGACCACATTCTCTCCAGCAGAATTGTTACAAGGGCAGATACACATGTGCGTGCACACCCAGCCTCGGGGTATCATGCAAGATCTTAGCTTTTCTGTATCCAAAATATAGCCGTCAATCTGATTTTTATGTACCCCCTTTTAAAATTTGCCCATCTAAAAATGTCCACGCCGCCCTCCTTCCTCCGTCCTGTTTATCCTGGTCATAGGCTAACAGCTGGAGGCTGTGTTGCTGCTTGATATTTGGGCTTTCTACTGTTTGCCCAACAAGCATCTGTGCACCCACCCCCTTCCAGAGCCAGACGTGGCACTCTGCCTCCTTTTGTAGTTAGCAGAGCTCATTCCGGTTACTAGCTGGGCATGCTGGCATTTTAGAGCTTTTTTCTGTCTAATAATGCACGGGATCACACCATTAGTGTGCTTCGCAGAGAACTTTTTCTTGCAGCCACTTCAGCCAAGTCCCATTTCATCTTAATCTAAACTCAGTGGAAATTGTTTTATATACTGGAAATACTTGATCTTCCCAAGTCCTGCTTGGAATTCCGGCTGAGCTCCTGCCCTATGACTTCATCTGCTCGTATTCCTGCTTGGCAGATGTCCTATTATGGCCTTCAAGTATCTTGGCTGTTCATTTCCTCGATTCAGCCTACAGTGTAGTCTCAGCAAATGTAGGGCAGATGACCCCCCTGCCCCCGCATTCCCTCCTGGTCCTTCTGTTCATCACCCCACTCCCATCCAACCCTTCTTCTTACAACAGACATGTGGTCAGGAAAATGCAATAGGAAGAAAATGGTTCATGCATTTGTTGGGTGTGTCTCTCTAGTTCACCCTGAGCCATTGTAACTCATTTGTTATGCATTTTACAACTTGTTTTGATTGAAGACTGAGGTAGCTGGTTTTAAGGTAGGTTTGTCAATTCACTGTTGTCAATAACAAACAAGCACCTACCTGCACTTCCAACCCAACAAAGAACAGGCTGTAAGGCAGGCTTTGTCTTTTGCTCCCAGTAGGCCGTCACCTCCCATGCATTATTCTCTGCTTAATAATTCAAAGAACCATAGAATAGTGAAGTTGGAAAGGGTCAGAGGGCCATCAGGTCCAACCCACCGCTCAGTGCAGGACTCCCAGTTAAACCATCCCTTTCAGATGGCTGTCCAGTTGCATCTTGAGTGTCTCAAGGGTGGGAAAGCCCACAACCTCCCCAGTTCATTGGTTCCATTGTAATATTCATACTTGGCTACGTGGGGACAGATATATATGTAGAAGAACTTACTTTCCAGAATGCTCACAGAGAGATGCTGGAGTTTATTTAATTTATTTAGAATATTTGTATGCCGTCCTTTCACAGAGCCTCAGGACGGCTTACATAAATAAGAATAAAATAAAACATAATACAAATAAAATCCAGATCCACCCTGGCTGCAGATTAAAAGCTATATAGCTAATGTTAAATGTTAGTAAAATATTGTTGAAATAAAAAGGTCTTAGCCTGGCGCCGAAAAACAAATGACGGCGGCGCCAGGCGAACCTCTCTGGGGAGCGCATTCCATAGGCAGGGCGCCACCGCAGAGAAAGCCCTCCTCCGGGTACTCACCCTCCTAATGTCTTTCACGGAGGGTTCCCAGAGGAGGGTCTCTGCTGCCGATCTCAGGGGGTGGGAGGGCAAATACGGAGTTGCAGGATTCTTTCTCTAATTGCACTTTAACTGCATTTATTCTACATAGAAGTCTTTGAGCATAAACAAAGTGAAATGTTGAACCTACCCAAAGCTTTGCTTATGAACCTTTCTGTGCCTTTCTCAGGAAGGAGGGGCACTGTGGAACCAAGAGCACTTGCATTCTTCTAAGATCCTAATTGGGCCACCCTGCAGCTGTGACAATGGACTTTTGGGTCCACCTCCTCAGGAGGCTGGAGTTCTCCAACTGAGAGACTCCCCATCTCTAAATCCTCCCCCCACCCCCGGATGTTGTTGTTGTTCTGTGTTCCCAAGGGAGGACTGACTGGGCCCCTCAGCTGCCCTTGAACTCATCTCATCTGGAGCAGGCACAGATGGGTAGAGAGCCTTGGGCTGGAGCTGGAACTGAGGCTGTTTCAGTAACCATTCTGTTACCAGAGTTTGAGTTGTCATCCCTGCTGGGGTTAGCCAGCTTCCCATCATTCTCAGAATCTGAGCTGTCAGTCCCACCAAAATGGTCAGCTTCCTGTGCACACCTGGGAATCCTGGCGGAACATGCCTTCACGACATAGAAATGCAATGGTGTAATCACATGCAGGGCATCACGCCCCTCCATGTGTTCAACAAGGCCATGAAAGGGAGTGGGATTATGCCTACTGGCCACAACACACCTTGCCTCCTGCCAGCAGTGCATTGCAGCTATGATATATTCTATGCACCAGTAGCCCCAGTTATGAAGGTCTCCTCCACACTGCCAGAGCCCTAACCAGTCTGCCCTGTGTGTTAAAATGTCCTTTTAACACTAATGCCTAATAAGCAGGGCAGAGATCCTGGTCAGCAGACATGATCCTGCACTCTCCTCAAAGCTCACATACACCAAACACACATGCGGGGGCAGTTTGTACGCACATTCCTCTATGCAGGAGAATGTTGTACAAAGCATACCTATTCTGACACCAAAGACATTGTCTTTCTGTAACAAAAGAAACAGACAAACAAAATCCACAGTTTACCCTCAGGTAAGCTATTTATTTTACATAAGCATTTTCATAAGCACTCATCAAGATATGGCAATCCGATCCACTGATGTTCTATACACTGTTGATGATAAATATGTGGTTAAAAAAACCCCCTTCACCAGCCCTTGTAATTTTTTCTTCTCTGCTACTCAGAATCCATAAAGAATGTTTCAAAGTCTTGGTCTAAGTCTGAAACAAGAGCATCAACAAAGTCTTCCACTGAAGGATGCTTCTGAAGCACACCTAAAGGGAAACAACACAGAGAATTAGTTGGGATCAACTAAATTTTGCTAGAAAGACAGCTGTTAACAGGCAGCCTTAAACTGGAAGTAATTTGTGCCACACTGAACCACTCCCATATAGCTGTGTCCAGAGCCACTGCCAAGAATGGAATCTGTGTATGGGGAAATTGGCTTAGAAATGCCAGGTGACTAATCAGCATTTCACACCTCCTGAACTATGAAAAGAGTTAACCATCTATCGTAAAAATTCAATTTCTCTCCATCCTTTTAAAAGAAAGGGTTTTAATGTAATATTAATATTTCCCACCCTTGTTCCTCTTGTGAAGAAAAAACCCATGAAGCTGGAATATCAAGGATCTCATGCTCCTCGCTCATCCCCTTCGGTTTCAGTTTCTTCTCATCATGAATGCCCAGGAGTGCAGAACCCAAGCCAAATAGGCTGCAACCTTATTCAGGCATTCAGTGGTTACTGTGTGAAGGGAGTGTGGAGAGGGGCTTGCTGGCCTTGTCTTCTGGTCCAAACACTCTCTGTACATCTCAAGGTGAAGGCATGTGCCAAGGAGCAGCCTCCCCACTGCAGACTTTGCCCTCCAATGTGTGGATCGTAATGGAATTCTGCCGGCCAAGCAAAGGGGCTCCTCTACTCTTATGATGGAAGGATGGATTACTTCCTGCATGGGGCTTTGGTGACCAGAGAGGCAGCAATCATGTCCAAGATTATTTTTGCTCCTTGAAGTCTCACAGGCAACTCTTCCCATCTTAGGATCAGTTTTCACTTTTTTTAAAAAATAGATAGCTCTATGTATCAGAATACAAAATAAGTGTCCCCTCAAATTTGTAAGGTGCCCCCGTGATGCATTAGCTGCATTCCTCTCTCAAGAAGGGAACAAGCAAGTGGTGACCAGGAACCAACTTTTCCACATTCAGGGAACAGGCCTCTCAATTGATGGGGGTTAAACTATTCTGTTGCTCGGGGAGGCTCTTAGCTCTGCAGCCCTGGATCTGTTGTGTTGGAATACAAGCTGCTGTCAGACAGGAAGATCTGGTCCCAAAATGATCATGCTCTATTAAATCAACAGGAGCACAGAGTAGGTGAAGGGAAGAATTCTGATCCAGGCAGCAGAGCTGGGTTGGAGAAACAAAGACAAAAGACAACAGTGAATTCCTGAGGGTCTCCCAGAAGGGAGGACAACAGATGTGAGTAAGAGGGCAGTGTGGGGAGAAGATTAAGAGTAGGAAAGTGGGAGTTTTAACCTGATCTGTTGAAGAGAATGCCAGAAAATGAGAAAGTGTAGAGCCTCAATGGCAGGGTGAGTCCAAGTGATCCTAGGCCATGGGGTGGGATCACAGGGTGCAAGAAGCAGGCCCCAAATCAAAGTTTTCATCAGTGGGTTGGGCAGATTGCCTGTTGGTCCACAGGCAAGAGTCTGGAGCAAGGGCAGAACAGGCACCTAACTGGGATCTTCAAAGAAAGAAAAGGCATGTGGGGCCAGTGGGTTCTTTCTTTAGCAAGACCACACAAAAGAGCAGTTGCAAGTGAAGACCAGTTGTGAGGAACACAAACACACAAAGAAGGGGGATGAGGGACACTGGCGCAAGCCCAGGAACAGTCTTGGAAAGCAAACAGGAACTGGAAAGGGAATTTCAGGGAAGTGGTGAGGTAACAATGAATCTGCACTTTTCTCAATAGAGAGTAATAGCAAGTTAGTTGGAAGGTCACAAAACTGTGTATTACAAGGGATTTCTAAGAGTGCCTCTGTCTCTAGCTTGATTCTGTATATTTTTTGTACAGAGATAACATACTGTCTTTCTCGCAGAGGAAAGAATATACAGACTAACGGATACAAGTGTATATTTTCATGTTCTTAACATTTTAAACATCACACTAGGAAATTTCCTATATTGTTCTGCACTGGAAAGAAAGTGGTATGTAAACTTTGCTTTTCTTTGAAGTGAATCATTCTGGCAGAAGTGCCAGTATAAATATAACCTTGTTGTACTCTTTACTATAAGAATATCTTGTACAATCACTTAATAATCCTACATGCCTTAGACTATTTGGTTTCCATGGGAATAATAATAATACAAGCTGCATTTAGGAAAACTGAACTCTTTTTTGAGCTCTTTAATAAGTCTCTACAAGAGCCAACTGGTCTGATTAGGTATTTTTGTATGTACAGTAATAGTTCCGAAACAGCCAACCAGGAAGAGTCCAGAACTTGAGGCAATTTGAAGCGCTAACTGGAAGAGTTCCTTGCTAGGACCTCGGCACCTCATGACTTTGAGTAAGCTTAAAATATGTTGCTTTGCAAGTGTCAACAAGAACACCCATAAAGACAGCTGATGAGCGGCGCAAGTTAAAACACACACACACCACACACGCACTGAAAGTACAGAAATAAAAGTACAGAAAATACAGAAATAATCCAACCATGTTTTTGAAGTACAAGAAGCACTTTGAGAATTTGGCTACGCTTGTTAACCTTCCCGTCAGAAGAATAAAAGTGAATTGCAGGAACACTCTGAACACACACCATGCCAGGTGCCCCAAAAGAGCCAGATCCAAGTAAGGATGGAGGAGCTGAGCTCAGCCAAAACCCTGAGACTCAGAATGACTCCTCAGCTGTGGAGGTCACATTTTTGTTTCCAGAATGCTCGTTACAAGTGCTCAGGGACACACGCACAACCGTTACTGGTGCATGCTTGCTCTGCTTCCCTCTTCTTCGCACCTACACTTAACAAACTGTTCTCCTTCCCTCCTATCCATTAAGTTTTTGACCCAGTTTCTGTTTTCAGTCCTGCCACATTCTTACACTTCCCGAAACCTGAAATGACACAATGAGGACACACAATGACTGCCTCAACAGGGAAGCATTGAGAGCAAAGAGCATCCCACATGGTAGCCATCTCTACAGACATCAGAACTAGAAACAGACTTGGACTGAGGTTGTATCACATCCAAAACCTCCCTCTGCAACGGCCCAACCTTGTAAGCAACAGTCCCACTGATTGGGAACCCAAGGATTAAATGGTTGTATAGCACTAGCCCCTTCTGGACCAAAATATTTAATGTATGTGATATATACAAGAAATAGTTTTTCAGGTCCAAATGAGATCTAACACAGACAGCTGCCATTTTTAAAGATGCGACTATATTTCATAAGCATACCTTGACTCTAATTTCAATGCAGTCCTTCCCAAGCCTACAGGAGCTACTGAAAGCTCAAGCTTTGAAGTCCTTCACTTTCTGCATTGCAACACTACAGCTAAATATACCTTTTCTGGAAATGGCTGCCCCCAGACTTCAACAATATTGCAAACAGTGGGGCAAAAAAACTGCTCTCTTGTTTGTTTCAAAAATGTCACAGAATCATAGAATAGTAGAGCTGGAAGGGGCCAAAAGGCAATGGGCCCAACCCACTGCTCACTGCAGGACTCCAAGTTCAACCATCCCTTTCAGATGGCTGCCCAGTTGCATCCTGAATGCCTCCAGTGTTGGAGATTCCACAACCTCATTAGGTGACAGGTATAGAACAGTGGAACCAGTTGCCTAGAGAGGAGGTGGGCTCCCCCACACTAGAGACATCTGAGTGGGATGGTGCAACATGGTGTCCTGCAACAGTAGGGGGTTGGGCTCGATGGCCTTCATGCCCCCTTCCAACTCTACCATTCTATGATCACTCCTTCATGCTGTGGCCAAACACACTCCTTCCAGTCCTTGTAAGGTGCAGTCCAGGCCTTGCCAGCAGTTCTTCTCTCAGGAAGTATAGCCCATGGTTCCAGAATCCAAATCTCTCACTTTGGCACAACCTTTGTATCCTTTTTTTCCCATTCCAAGAATAGGAAGGGCTGAAGCGAGAACTATCTGGGCCCCAAAGTTCTTTACTTTCTTCCCTAAAGCTTCAAAGTCTGACATGATTTCTTCAAAGCTCTACTTGGCAGTGACATTTGTTCCCACATGTATAAGAAGGAAGGGATACGTGTTAGTGGGCTGCTTGAGCCTTGGGAATCTTTCAGCTGTATCACTAATCTGTCCTCCAGGGAAATGGCATACCTAATGAGTCATCACTTTTTTGGTTCTGTTAGCTCGATCTATAGCATGTATTGTTGCTTAGAGCCCTGACATCATCAAAGTGGCACTTAACTTTTAAATGCATGTTCACTAGCATGTAGTTAAAACTAATGAATAACATTCTGATGATCCAAATGCCCAGGAGCGATTAGGGGCCAGCTCTCATGTCCAGCTTCCTCTACTAGCAGGCAACTGCATTCCCACCTCAGCAACTGTTACTCTATTTTCGAATGTACGTTCTATCTCTTAGTCGCATGGGGGTCACTCGTGTGGGCCTGCCCTCTGCAGAGGATAACTGTGTAGCGCTGCAGGCTACCATAAACAAAAGGAAGTGAGGGAAATCCCCTGCATTCTTCTGGAATACTGAACAATGCCACGCTCCCTAATGTTTGTGTGTATCAGCAAAAGGGGAGCAAGTACTATATACGAAAACATCCTCTACTATGGATAGGTAGGTACCTATTTTTCTGATTGTAGCAAGTCCTATTCATCTATAAGGAAGAGCTTAAGAACAGAATGTCTGCATTATGTAAGCCATTTACTCGATGTAATTTACTGTAATGGAATTTACTAAGATATAATTTTTAAAGATGCAATACGAAGTATGCTTAATTTGCAGGTGACAGTTACAGTACAAGCAGCAGTCCTTGCTTTTTCTCTGTGAGATATTTATTGCGCACTATTTATGTCGTAGTCATGGTTGTTTATGGGTCCTTTAGTCCTAGGTTTAAAATGCACTTTCAGCAAGTGTATTCTGAGCGTGCAGATGTGCTGACAAAAGCAAAAAAAACAAATTAGGCAAACTGATCCCCCCATTTCTCCAATGATGCAATTGCGATATTCCTCTACAGTGCACCACCACCTAGAGGTTACATAGCAGAAAAAGCAGGAAAGGAAATGTACAGGACTTGGATGTCAATTCTGCAACAAAACAAAAAGCAGATACAGTGGCTTAACAACGTTGCGTAGAAAAACACTTTATCCAGAAGTATAAAGGAGCAAAACCAGCTGGACAATACAATCGACAATATTTATATTACCTTGAACCATGAGCATGGGTTCTTTTCCACCACCATATGCCAGCATTTCTTTGCGATAACGTTCCCCCATTGCCCTGAAGGAAGAGACAGAAGTATTCTTATTATAGCCACCTGCAATCATAACTAGTTCAGCTTCCTGTCACACCTGTCCCTGGGCTCCTTGAACTAACAAAGATAAAGATCCAACAAAGTTTGCCAGTTTCAATTCCCATGCTCACTCCAGAAAGGTACATTACAAATACAGTTAAACCAGAGTCTGCTCAACTTGAACAACTAATGGTGTAAACAAAGTACGAAAGAATCCTATACTTTGTCCGTACTATTCTTTACAAGCCATTTGTCCCATACTACCATGCTTTCATTGTGCCAAATGGGAAAGGTGTATTTCATTGTTGCCAAATAATATGAAACATGAAGACTTATGTTTCACTATTAAATACTTTTCCACACTAAAATAGGAAGTTGGAGCCAGTTCCAACATAATAGTGGTTTTTCACTTTAAACATAGTGGTGTCACTCATGGATAGGAAGCAATTTATTCCCCAGAAAAATCCAGGATAGGTTAATAAGATTAAAAGGAAGAGATGACTGACACATCCATCATTACACGGAAACTGCACCTCCGTAAGGAGACAGGCATGCAGGCAGGGACATGTTCCTAGGTTACGTCAAGTGAAGTTAGAGGATCCCAAACTACATTTAGAGTTTGGAAAACATGTGTTTCAGGCAAGCAAGTAGCCTCCATCTCTCAGCTGTCACACAGGAAGGCCTGCTGTACATTTGCTTCAGCCCAGTTTCAAGCTTCCCACAGAATTCTCTATTTGCTACAAACCTTCATTAGTATAATGAATTTCCCATTGATGGGGAAGAAGCTCTTCACCAAGCACCCAGAGATGGGTGATAATAGAATAAGCAGAGCTGGGCTCAAGATGTCCAATTATTAATGGAAATAAAACAAGGCTTTTCAAACTGTGCACAAACTTGGGTGACCAGTTCCTTGTTTCCTGCGGTATTAACAACTGCAACAGAGCCTTGCAGCACGTGCAGTTTTTGTGACTACAGTGTTGCAGCATCAGGCATTTATGAAGCACTCAGCAGGCTGTTTTGGAAATCAATTAGTCATGCAAACCACTTCCCCCTATATATGTCACATCAACCCTGAGATGGACCAGAGCAGCCTTACTGATCAACTAACACTAAAGCATGTTGCCAGGTAACAGCACGTAAGTTAACCTTCTTGGTAGTGGCACCTAATCTCCGGAACACTTCCCCATCTATGGTTAGAGAGGCAGAATGTGGCAAACCTCAAACACCTCAAAATTGGTATTTTGTATTTTACGAAAGAACAACGGTCAAGCAGCATGCTATCTACAGCAGTATCATCAATGGTTCTCTTGTCACTGACAATGGCAGCGAAAAATGTTCCCTCCCTGGTTCTATCCCTCCATTTTACCCCAATCCATGCCTCCCACCACTCCACTGCACTTAAAAATGACAACAGGCACAAATGGTATCTATTTACAGCAAGCAATGGAGTCAGTGGGTAGGGTACAACACATGATATCACAGTTGCAAACTGCTAAATCTAGATTACTATAAATGCTTAACAAGAAAACAACAGTGGCACCAACATAACAAGACTGCTGGATGATATCTGGAAGTTACACAGCACTTATATTAATCCTGTTTAAAAACTGGGTCAGTGTTCTGCATTTTCACTTTGTACCTGTTGAAGGGATCCTGCGCAAAACACTGTTTCCATACCATGGATGCTACAGCCCTAGACATGAGGTAGGAATAATACTTGGCACCATAACCCACAAGATGGCTGAATCTGAGCTGCCAAGCCTATATATGAGGGAGATAAAAGAGAGGAAAATTTGTCATTCTTTAGCATGTTTGTTTGGAAACAAAATAAACTGTTTATCAAAATGTTAGAGCTGAACAGTATTTATTGACATAATTGATACCCCACCTTAGGATGATATATGGGAACGAGAGAACAATTATTCTTAAGTAACTTTTTAAACAGAATGCTACTCTTAAGCATTTTTTCAATGGATAAACAGTGCAAAAAGTGTGCTATGGAAATGCAGGTGTGTTTCATTATAGCCACATTTCTTTTGTGTTATTCAAGGAAAACCACAGTTTACGTGCTACAAGTGCCACTGTATTTTTTCATAGAGGTACATGCAATGCCACACCTGGAACAGGTAAACCTGCAACAGTCTGCCAAAACAAAATTACAGTAAAGACATGTCCCTGCTACTTCTTTAAAAAGCACCTTCCGACATGCCAAAATACAAACTCAGGGACAGGTGGGATACAGATTCAAAATGCCATTCTTCACTGTGTTTGTGTTTATAGAAGATTATCACCATCTGCAATTCTAGTGCTATTTGTCCTTAAACTGTCAGGAATTTATGATTCATTCCTTGATTCTTTTTCTAACTGCTGGTATTAAATAGCACCAAGTCATGTTATTAAAGTTAATAATATCTCTTCAGTATAAAGGGGTTATGACTTCATAGAGTGAGCCCAGCTGAAAGGTCCACTGGAGTTTCCAAGTTTCCACTGAAGCTAAAGTGGAAACAATGCAACAGGCACCCTGAAAATTGCAGAGGGTCTGGTGCTCTTTGAATTGCCTAATGAAGAACAGAGATTGGAGTACATATACAGAGATGGTTGCTGGACTTTCGCGTTATAAAAGCCAAAACCAAAATACGTTGGCTATTGATTGCATTTTAAGGAGCCTATTTTCAGTAGATTTGTATAATGATCTATAATACATTTAATTAGGATTTGTAATAGCAAAACTCAAATATACAACCATGTCTTATGCATCAGTTGAGTTTCCTTTTTTTCAGATCCGTTGCACTGATACTGGTCTGTTTATTTAGACCTTCTTTTTGTAAAACATAATAGATATTAAAAAGTGTTCCCTAGCTGACATACAGCACCATCTCATTACTTGGAAGTAAATTCAACTAAGTCCAGTAAGACAGACTCCCAGATGGGTGTGCAAAGGATTGCAGCCCTAAGTATTCCTAGAAAATAACAGTCTTTCTCAAATACTCACTGAAGAAATAGACCCATTGTTCCTACCAAGTAAAATACTGCTCATGCTATTCTATCAGGCATCTATATTCTTCTGTAATTGTTTGCAGACTAAGCTCTGCATGAAATGAAAAGAGGTTTTTTTGTTTCAAATTAAGTGCAGGACTGTTACTAAACTTCAACCAAATCCTATCTGCATCTCTAAACTGGAGTCCAAAAATAAGTTCAGCTTCAAGTCAGATAATTCTACACATACTGGGAAAGTACTTTGGCAGAAACATTCATACTTATCTTTTTTTTTTTGGCCCCTAACTAGTCCCTTACCCATAATCTACCGCACAGAACACATTTAAAACATAGGGAGGCTGAAGCAATAAAATATGCTGGTTTTCATTCTAGTCTATAATAAGCGTTTCTTCTAAGGATTCGAAGTTTCAGCTGGTAAGATTACATCCTTTCCACAAACCAAAGCAGTCTTCACATGCCCATATTCCAAATTATTTCCAAATAGACCTACATAAAAAGTGCTGAAAAATTGAGATAAGAACATAAGAAGAGCTATGCTGCACTAGATCAAAGGCCCACAGAGTCCAGTGTTCTACTCTCAATAGGCCCATGGAAGTCCAGAAGGAAATAGTTCCCTCTCACTCGTGTTTCCCAACTGGCATATAGAGCCATACTCCCTTTGATGCAGGAGAGAATATATCCTCACTAGTAGCTATTGATGACCTCGTCCTGCTTACATTGCTCTAATCCCCCTTCAATGCTGACCAGGTTGATGGCCATCATTAGATGTTGTGGAGGTGAATTCTGGGATTTTACACAACCAAAAGCTAAGACTTCACTTTCTAAGGCTTCACTCCCTCCAACTACTATATATTACTACTCAAATTACCTTCAGGTGATTTTAATTATCTAGAACAGCATCTAAAATTACTCACTGCACTGCTAAAATAAAGGGGTTTTTTGTTTGTTTTTTGTTTGCTAGCAAAACAAACCTGTGTGATTCAGCAAGATGGGAAACACACCTGAGAAAAGCTGGGCTTTATATCCCCCAAAATGGAGGGTGCATGATTTCCTCACCTCTCCTCCCACACTGCACCTAGAACTAACATATTTTCTTCCCTTCTTCCCGCATGTATTTCCTGAAGAAGAGAGGTACAGATATCAAGGTTACACTATTTTTGTGTGTGTTTTGGTTGAGGTGATGAAGGGCTTACAGCAACATAGATTTTGGAAGAGTTTAACTATGTGTCTTGTGAAGTAGAACTTCCTTTGAACTGTTCTAAATCTCCCAAATTTCAGTTTCATTACATCATCCTGAGTTCTAGTCTTTAGAACTATCCACTTTTGCCACACCTTACAGAATTCATATACTTGGTCTCTTGTTTATGTGGTTCCTCAGGACATTATTTTATCTCCTGTGCTTACATACATACATAGAATCTTGCGGCATTTAGTAGACCCAGTGGAATTAATGTTGCTTATTGATTTTAATGGGTGAACTCTAAGAATGGATACAAAGCATTATACATGGGTGGAGAGAATGAAAATGCAAGCAATTAGGGTATTGCAACTCATTATTTTGAATGCTCAAGTTTAAGCCAAAATCTCAAATACGTTTACCTGGAGATTCCAAACAAATACCTATAATACCTGTTGTGCTTTTTCCTTAGATTTGCACCACATAATACTAAGAACAGTAATATGCATTTAATCCAGCCTTTTCTAGTCATCAATTTCCTACAGCTCAAAATTGGTTTCAGTTACTCTGCAACAGACAATATTTTCAAGCTAATCTTAAGAGTTCACACTACTTTACATAGCTTTATGAAGCCTATACATCAATATACTCAATTTAAGCTAATATTTAAACTTTTCAATATGTTTCATTGTATCACATCTTGTTAGCACTACTAAGGCACACATGTCTCTTAAGGAGAAGGCTAAATACAGTGTTTGTACATCAAGAGAGTGATGAGATTAGAAGACAACTAACAACACAGTTCAAAAGAACATGGATGCAAATCAATACCATCTTCTGTAGTAAAATTAGACTTCTAGAAGATATTAAATACTATTATCTTACTAGGATTTGCAGCCATCATCTTTTAACCTTGAAATGGGGCTTCAGATGGGAAGTTCTAATGTGTACGGGCCCTTTTCAAATTCATTTCATCTATGTCACTGGATGATCTCATCTTTTTAACAATTGAAATAACCCTCTGATGTTTCAAACTTCCCTTCTGAACAGTCCCCCCAGGCAATATACAGAAACACATAGGAAAAAATCTCACTGAAGGTCATGTTTCTAAATTGCAAGCCAATGGATGAAGTTTTCAGCTACATTATCTGCTCCTGTAAAGCATGTAATAAGTCTTGAAAGAGCTGCAGGAAAACATTCCAGGAGTTTATTAAACAGTGGTGTATTCTATGCCTAGGGGTTATGATAACATGCCATCTGCAGGTCATGTTCCTGCCTGCTTTTTCATATAGTATGACTGACAGAAACGAAGGTGCATGACTTTAGTTAATTAATAAAGATGCCTGCTTCTCATCAACATACCATCAATCCACCAATGATTATCTTGTCTGAAGGTTTTCCAAGAAGCCATACGTGATTTTTATTAGAAGGATGAAAAGCTAGCTGTTCTCTTGTGGCCAAAACTCTTAAATATGACACACATTTGCTATATTCTGAGCCTATAAAACAAAATTTTAAGGGCGTTACTACAATTCTCTATATTCTATTTAGCACACAAAACCCTTTAATAAAAACTGCAGTCATGTGTTATCTAAAGAGGTCGGTTAAACTTTTAAAGCTGTTAAAATCTGAATTAGTCAGAAGCTGACAGAATTATTACAGAAACAGTAAGAGAATGCTGACTCAAATCTTGATCTACAATTTGTAAAAGCCAAAAAGATCTTAAAGGGTAGGCATGCTGAAAGTACCACTGCAGGGGCTCAGCTGCCTTCTTAAGCTCCTCCTAGTGCTGGCCAACCTTTCTCTGCTTGGTGGAAGAGGCCCAGAACGGCATGCTTCTCCCAGCATGGAAGAAAAAAAAGAGTGGCAGGCTGCTGACAGCAGTGGGAATGGTGACCGTAGGCTTGGTGACACCCACTGACATCCACAGCCCATGGACAGCCTGGTGGGGAACAATCTGGTCTGCCACCTGCAAAAGGTTTTATACTCCTAATTAAGATTGGGTTAGACTCAGGTCAAGGGTCATCTTGCTTCCATCCTGTTCACAGAGTGGCCAACATATCCACAGAAAACCCCTAAGAATTTGCTGAATCACTAGTCTGCAAAACTGACTTTCTTATTGTACTCATCCCCAGATTTGCCTAGTAAACAGCTGGCTCTATAAGACATGCCCCATCTGTGCCCTCAAACATTTAAATACTTGACAATACACATTGACCAAAGACAATCTCTTCAGAAAAGGATGCATGCACTTAATGAACAAAAGTATATCCTCATTTTTTTTTCAGGTAGTGAGAGTTCTCATTGCCTCTGTTAGCAGCCTGGCATAGTATATGATAGCAAAGTGCCTGCCCTTTGCAGGCTCTATAGGAACTACAGAAATTATCCCTCTTGGCACTGGGTCTGAACTGCAATGAGAAAAAAACAGAACAGGATAGCTGAGAAAGAGCTGGGCCCCTTGATGCAAGACTTGGATCTGCATTTGTGCTGCTCCTTCTGCTAGGAACAAGCGTGACATTTCTTTTCCTCCCTTCTGCGCAAGAACATCAATGTTACAGGACACAGAACTGCAAAGCTTTGTGATTTCCCTCCTTGTCTAGACTGAGGTAGTACCCTTTTAAATGGGTGAAACAGATTCCCCCCTAGATCTTGTGGCGTTTCTTTCCCTTCACTCCAAAAAAACCAAGTAAGAATGTGGAACTGCCTCTGCAGATGAAGTCACGTAGGAATATTCTAGGCAAGGACTTTGCTCTGTACTGAATGAGGAAGCCAAGAGTGGGTGAACAGCACAGCCATCTTAGTCACGGGGGGCAAGGGGCAGAGTTTGGCTGAGTTCAGCAAAAGAGGCTACTCTGAGTGAACCCCAGTTCCTCACAGTGCTAAGTGCACAAAAAGCCTCCTCAACATTTTGACTGTGGCTCTATGGAATGGAAATCCACTGCCCGATAAGCACCAGGCATACACATCTTTAAATTTTGAGTCTGTAGCTCTCATTCATATGTTTGTAGTTAAATAAAGGTGTGTCATATATTTAAGGCCTCACTTTTCTCTATTATTTGTGATTTTTAAGTCTCTATTTAGTTTTCAAGAGATCCCCAAACCAGTAGAGGAATTTACCTAAACTTACATAAGCAAACTCTGCCCCCCACTCCTTACAAGAAGAAGCACAGAGAACTTGTAAAAAGAACAAACAAATATTTAGCTACAAATTATGGTTTTATACTCAAAACACAGAGTAAAGAGCAATGTTATCAGGTTGCATGGTTGCAGTTTTTGGACTGAATAATTTCAGACTAAAATTTATTTACAGGTAGTTGCAGTGCTCTGCTAACTTGCTAATACTATTGCCTTTTAACAGTGGATCTATGCATGTTTATTATTACTACTACTACTACTACTACTACTACTACTATAATGCCTGTTGCCAAACTACTACTACTATAATGCCTGTTGCCAAAGTTCCCTGGGTGATATGCAACATTTGCATTATAGTCTATGAAGCTTACTTCTAGGTAAATGAACACAAGATTGCAGTCTAAAATAATACAGGAAGAAGATATTCTGAAGTCAGGAATTAGTGAGTAAAAAATATAAACAGCAAAAAAAAAAAAAAAAAGACCCCTGAGATGATGAAAAGTGAGTCAAACAAGAGATTAAAAGTTTCAATTTATAACACTTCTGTGTTTTGATTACCAAGCCATAAATAAACCCAGCAGGACAAGGGATATAAATATTTTTGTAGTAGTTTATATTGGAGAAGAGGAAAGGAATTTACCGTACAATTAACCACTTATGTGTTTCTGGAAAGAAACCATATGGTTCTGGAATTATTAATTCATATTTATATGTGTATGTGTTTTTATATTAGAACTGACAGGAGTGGCCCTTGGGACTTGAAGTCTTTTGTTAAAATAACTGGGTTAGTACAGATACAGCTAACTTGTCCCATTCATTTTTGTGGAACTGGGATGACTGAGGGAACAATCCTATGAATTGTGCCAGTGGTACATGGAAAGTCCCAAACTCATAGGTTTTGAGGATCCATCTCCTCTGCTAAAGTGAACCTGGTGGGGCCAGAGAAACAGTGGCGGTAATTGCCAGCCCTCCTATATTCTTTATTTCATCAGACAGGCTTTCAAGTGAGAGAGGCTGAAGGAAGCTCAGATAAATTGCAACCTGGCCTCTCTTGTCCTCTCCCCTCCTGACCCACTGTAATGCCCCCCTTTCCCCCACTTTGAGCTCAAATTTCCAAGCCTGAATAGGCAGGTTGCATGGTTCTCACAGCACCAACTGCATGGTGGTTGGGAGTCAGATCTTTAACTCTCCCTTCTGAGGCTGGAGTGCAGCTGCTGTCCTTGGAAGGGGTTTTTCCAAGCTATTCTATGGTCCCTTGGATACTCATCCAGGGGCCACAAGATTGTTCTCTCTCTGTGCCAACCTATACATGCCTACTCAGAAGTCTAAGTTCAGTGGGACTTACTAAAATATGTGTAAGATACAGCTGCAACCTCCTCTGGACTAGGATCATTATCTGTAATTTTTCCATTTAAGTGGAGAAATGAAAATGCCTTTAAAATGCCAAGATTCATGTGCTGGTTTCAAAATATCAACTTTTGTTATGGTTTGCAAATGAATGTTGAGTTTATGCAACCAACCCTATAAAGCAACCATCACAGACTATTTACAGAAAATTCCACAAAGCGGTTTGTTACACATTCATTTAATTTTCCTCTTCCTACACTCAGTCTCTTAAAAATCTGGTTTTACAGTACACTTTAAGATGACCCAGTTGAAAGTTAATCCAAGGGTATACAATTTGTATAAACAAATGGGTTTTCCATTTTGGCCAAAGAAGCAAGTTACAAGCATTCCAAAACTAAAGAGATGTTTTCAGGAGTGATTCTAAAACCTGAATTTTTTGAATTTCCTGTGTTTGTAAATCGAATTAAAGAACCACACTGGCCACAACATACATTTGATTTAAGATTAACCTCTTCTGCTTTCTATATAACATTAAACAGCATTCAGAAGTTCTGCTTTACAAACTAAAAGTGTTCTTAGCATTGCTCGTGTAAAATGTATTCAAGCTAGTGTCTGTGGTATAACTCTAGGAAATTATAAATAAAGCAGCACCCAACATTTTGAAGTGATAATTCAAGCCTTTTTATTCCACCCACTACAGCAAACCTACATTACGGTTGGGATCCCCAGAAATATTTAGGTGCATCCAAGTTCCTGGGTGCCCAATGGAATGTTTCCTTTCGCTCCAACAATTTGAATCGTAGACTCGCCTCAGCGTACCTTAGGTTGTATCACAAACTGCACAATTCTGTTCAAAGGTTATTTGCATATTTCATAAGGACGTTTCATAAATCCAGACCTTCCTTGGATGCACAGGAATGATCAAGTGGTGCTTTGGATCCAAGCAAGACCACAGTGAGCTAGCCACATGTTGGTGTCTGCCATTTGCTCAATAACACACTACACCTGCATGCCAGGATTCCTAGTACTCCAGTGGAGCTTCACCTCTCCCCTCTCAACTCCCCTCCCTGCTTCCCCAACACCAGCTCTGAAGTTGTGCTTGCAACACTGGCACTGCAGCTAGCATGTGAATAATCATGAAGGGAGTCTGTTCTGAGTTCAGAGTCTCAGCTCCAACCTCGGAGCACGTAACTGAGCGCAGAGCTGGGGCTCTGAATTTTCCCATGGCCATCTAGACAAAGTCTACTGGCCACAGGATTGTACCCTAATCTGCATTTTACTTTAAACATTAGTTAACATGAAACATGATACTCACAGTATTAGGAACGTATGGCAATCTGTAAAATTTCTCTTGGGTTTCCTTTAAAATTTCTGTGGTTGACTTCTCGAGAGGATGCTTCCCATGGTATATTTGGTCCAAGACAGCATAAAAAACCTGGACAGAAATATATATGGATGTGTGCACGCACGCACATACACACACACACACACATATATACACAGACACATATATACACACTTGGCTGTGGGTCAGTTTCCCTCTTCAGAATGTGGTTAACAAATCCAGACATGCAGCAGAATAAAAAATGAAATTTAAATACATGGATTGCCTTGCTCTACTTTGAGAGCATAATATAGAACTTACGGAGTGGTTTTGTTCATGCATTCAGTAATCACAAGATTTGTATATGTACAGAGCACCGATTTTCAAAATGAAGTCCCCATACTTCCACAGTATTGTCATCCTGATCCTTTACGCACTGTTGTTGTACTAGCTGTCATTATAAATGTGTCTGTGCAGTCTAGTATTTAGAAAGTTCTCCCATCTCCTTATAGCCTTCAGTTCTGTAACAGGTGTTACTTAATGAAATATAAGCAGATCCAAGGTTCCTATTGTCTAATACTATTTCCTGTGTAAAATTTTAATGATCATCTGGGGTTAATAGGAAGTGGTGAAGGAAGGGGAGGAGAACCCATGCACTGTGTGGGATCCTCCAGACTCTATTTTTGTTGTTAGTGGGCAAAGACATACTACCAAAAGCATTTTAAACATCTCTCTCCAGGTCCCTTTCATGTTACTTTTAGAACACTCTAAACAAAGCACAGAGATTGGTGATCTGACCTGCCCCAACCCTTCTGGGGGGTTGACCAAAGAATAAAAAAATGTGTATGTAAAACAAAATATAGCATTATTTTAAAATAAGACTACAAGCATCACACACACAATAGGTCTCTTGCCCAGGAAAATCACAATGATTTAAAAATGCTTAACACCAATTGGAATTCACCTGGATATTTCAGTTATTAAGAAGGTCTTTCCTTGGCTCAACAAAAACCACCAATTATCAGCCCTATGCTCTGTGGACATTGGCATAAAAATTATAGCATGACCTTTTAGAGCAAGCCACCCACTTCTTCTTTGGTATCATGTCAGAGAAGCTATAAAAACCAAAATACTTTCATCATGCTTGTGAAAACAAGCTAATATTCCTGACATGAAATATCTGAATAACAAGTATTTCACATAACTGACACTGAACTAAACCAGAAGGTTTCCTGTATTAAGAGTCTGGTGAGAAATCTGTAAAAACTGAATTAATATGAAGCTCCACAACTGTCATAAATATAACTATAAACTTAATTGCTTCACGTTGCATAAAGGGGATCATATTTTTAAGTGCAAGCATACATTAAATTCTTGCACTTAAAAAAATAATTCAACAAACTCTTCAGAGGGAAACGTCCCTCTGAAGCAGCCCAGTCCAGAAATACTCCCATGATGTGAAAAAGAAGATCGAAGTGTCTCTATCCTGCCTACGAATTTCTACATATTCCCAGCCCAACTGTGGGTTGGAGAGAACTGAAAGGGAAAGAGCTAAGAATTTAAAGGTATAATTATCTAAGCCTTGATATCCTGAAGTGGCTTGGAGGAGACAAGACATTTGCCCGCAGTTATGCTTGAGATTGTTCTTGTTCTCTATAGGATGAGGGCTGACCTAGGCATAACATTTAGTCACCCTGCAATTTCCATTGAGAACTTGATTTGAAGAAATTGCTATGACTGCTAAGGGAGAGAAAGTGACTAGCCATTATGGCTCTTGATGTCACAACAGAAGGCTCAATGCCCTGCATTAAAAGCAGAAAGCCTGAAACCAGTCCCTGGCAGGGCAATCTTCTTCCAAGCTCAACACCCTCAGTTGAACTGAGCCTACCATCCTCAGATAGGAAGGCCTTGTGTGTTTGCTTCAAGTAAGGACTGAGAGTAATGTGATATGAAAACAGCCTCATTTAAGGTTCATGGCATTACCATACAATATGCACATGGGAGACTGTGGGAGGCCATCCAATGGTGGCTCACTGTGTACACTAATGATATAAAGCAATGCCAGTATAAAGCAATGCTAGCACAATGTCATTAAGATTTGCTCCTACAGGGGAAAGCATGGGAATCTGTTACCTAAATTCAGGTGTGCTGACCTTCTTTTGGCAGCAAATTGCTTCTTTTTCCTTTTGCACTGTAGGTACAAATGAGGTTGTACTAGCATTGGGTTACTCTAGCGCAACATCATTATTGCTGACATTGATCGACTAATGGATACTATTCAGTGGCTCTAATTACTTAGCTGATAATCTCCCTAAAAGGAGTCAATTCTTTAAAAGCTATTTTAATCATTGGAGAGCCATAATATAAACCAAATGTATTTTTAAAACAGTGGGAAGTATGTAATGCAAGCCTTATACAATATCTTGTTGCAGATGAACAGAAATTTTCCCTTGGATGGTAAAAATGGAGAGCTAGGCATTTTATTATAATTAAGGCCATTTGCACAATTGATTTTAATGGAATCAATTGTCATTTAGAATGTCCAAATGTACTTCCTTTTTCAAGTAAATTAGATTTGGATTTGTTAAAAAATTCTATCCATAGGTTTGGCTTTGCCAAAATGTATTCATTTATTATAGATTTGTTCTGGCCAATGCCCTTATCTGGGTCTTTGCATCTAAAACAGAAACATTTCCAAGGATTATGTTGCTCCTGTTTGAATGACAGTTTTTGAAAAACAGATTGCAGCTTAACAAACCTTTCAACTCCACTGCCAGAATGTCAACTGGGCTTGTTTGCTCTTTCTCTGAATGTTTATGTTCTATACTTATAATTTCCAAACCATTTTACTAACTACATTTGCAACAATAATGCACCCTTAACCAGGAGTGCAAACCACTAAATTCCAAAGGACTTTATGTAAGCATACACTTTCACAAGGCCCTCACACCTCCTGGCTTCATCTCTGACCCAGGTAGTACAAACAAAACTTCTAATCTAAGAACTCACAGTGATTTTAATAAGTGAACAAGAATGCTCTTTAAATTGTAGCATTTGCACACTGTGTTGAGAGAAAAAAGGCACATGGGACAGTGCAGATGTAACCCTGGCTTACTCTTCTGTTAAGATACGTTGGAGCTAGCTATAGAATACATCCTATATTCTCTCACATGCTCGTTTTTCTCTTCCTGCCTTGATCCTTTTTGGGGAAATGTTGGCACCAGCCTTAATGCTAGTTAAACTAACCAGGTTTTCTAGTATGCCATGATCTGAAACACCTTTTGAACTGGTGGTAGCTTTCCTGCTATCTCAGTTTGAAGCAGAAGGGGAGCATTCACTCAAAAGCAGGGAGGAAAGTATGTGTGGGGTGTGGAAAATGTGATCTTGAAACTACTTCTTTCTTAATTGCAGGGTAACCAAAACTATGTTTTTACTGGCTTATAGAGATATTTAATCTATTCCATTAGAGCCCTCTATAGATACTGTTTGAGAAGCAAGCATGGCCAGTTGTGAGAGTTGATAGCAGTTGCAGGCCACACATTCCTCCTCCCTTCCACTAGAGGTTTGTTTTGTCTTTTTCTGGATGAATTTCAGACCTTTTTATTTTGACTATTTTATTGGCAAGTTTTAGCTTCTAAAATGTGTTGTTAATTGCATATGTGGTAAGCTGCAACTGAATTTAAACTTAAAGAATTTGTCAGTCTTAAATTCAGAAATAGGTAATTGTTTATGTTAAAATAATTGTCGGTTTTAAAAAAAAGATTTATTATATTCAACAGTTTCAACACTAAGATCTCTTATAGTTCATTGCAAAGTGAACACACACAGGGAAACAATCAACGTACCTGAAGCTGCATATCAGCTGCAGCACAAACTTTTTTAGATTCACAGAGTCTTGACACCATGTTTTTGGGCAGTGGCTTAAATAAAAAGGAGAAAGAAATTAGCAATAGTTACCAGTTTTTAAATATTACTAATGAACAAACAAAATAAGAATCAAATGAAAGCAATAGTTACATATTTAATTATAACGTGGAAAATGACATGATGTGGCTCTTAATTACTCCTGTCTCATGGCACCATCTGCTTCTTAGAATTATACAATAGTAGAGTTTTTACAAAGGCACTTGACTTTGCTTTGTCTTGCTGCCCTCCTGCACCTGAGAAGGCACGGGTGGTGCATCTAGAAACACTGGGTAGTATCCAACAGTATCATTTAGAAAACTCGAATAGTTCTAGCAGAGCTCCACCAAATCCTTCTATTGCACCAGTGGTTGTGCAGCAGGTTGCACAATGAGTTGCTCAAGCTTAATGCAGAACCACGTCTTACACAAACATAACTTTAGCAGGATTCTTCTCTTATACATAGTTCAGAACCTAGTTTCCCCCAGTGCAGTGTTGTCTGCATTTAGGGAATGGCACAGCTGGTTACTGCCCTTGGTCAGATACTTTCTTGGGATTAGGAGCAATAGTTGGATTATGGGACTTAAAATTACATTTTTCTGGGCACAGGAAATGCTGTTCTTTCTATTTCTTTAAAAGGACAAAAAGAGGGGGAAAGAAGAGCAAGAAAGACACCCAAGAAAAAGATGTAAGTGGGAAAATAATCCCAGATAGGTCCAAGGACAGCATGGTGCTTTTCCTGCCATCTCCCTAAACAACCCATTTTGGTTTATTTGCAAGAGGGATTTGCATCTAAATTTTGGCACCAACTCAGCAATTTTCCTTTTTTCCAGGATGGAAGCACCCACAGATTTCATAACATCTTGCAGGTGTCCTGGTACCCCACAAACTGCTGCCTATAGGCAGGAGGAAAAAATAACCCCCAGATCTCCCAAACTGGCCCACTCCAGCTGTAAGCATGAGGGAATACAAAGGGATACCTACTTCCTGGATGATACAGTCTATTTCATTAGGGTTGTTGTGAGTTGAAAAGAACTTTTGCCCCAGTGCGAAAAAACCCTGGACAGGCATTCACACAAATACACAAGTACATGCTCTAGTTCTCTGTTTGACAGGATACGTGTCCTCCTTAAAAAATGTATTTCACACACATACATAAATATTGTATTTATAAAAGGATAAAATATCTATTGTTACCTAAAAGGAGAAGGAAAGAAGAAGATGCACAGGAGTAGCATCCTTTCATTTCACCTGATATAAATTAGTATCTTAGATTACAAATCTGTGCATTTCTGACCATTGGCCATGCTGGCTAGAGATGATGGGAGTTAAGTCTTAAACATCTGAAGGGTGCCAGGTTGGAGAAAACTGACTTAGGTAAACTGAAAATGCAACTATACACAACACTGTCAGAAACACTGCCTTTGAAAACAGTATCCTCATGCTTAGTTTTTCCCTTCTCCTCCATGATGTGCTTTAAAACTTGCTATTGCTGTTTTACTACATTGATTTTATGCTTACAACAACAACAACCCTGAGAGGTAGGTTTGGCTGAGTCTGTGACTGGCCAAAGTCACCCAGTGAGCTTCATGGCCGAGTGGGGGCTAAAACCTGGGTCTCCCAAATCCCAGTCCAACATTCTAACCCCTATGTAACACTTGCTCCTCATGCTGATTTCCAGAGTCATGTTGTACATTTCCTTCCCTTAACAATATTTAAGTACAAGAGAAGTTTTACATATGCTATGGAGAGCAAGGAGAGGATGGTTCTGTTTCTTATAATATGTGGTTCTGCCCAGAGTGTTGGTGTGACCAAAGCCTCTTAACATGTTCAAAAAGCTTCTCTAACTTCTAAAATGGAACACAGATGTTTGGCATTTACAAAGAATTCCTCAATCAGGCCTAAAGCTTTACAGTGGAAGTGTTTAAGAAGTGCTTTATCGAAATTTATATGCTCATTTATACCTTAAATTATGAGACCGAGAAAACAATATTGATGTTAATAGAACAATTGCATTAACAGTTGTTGAGAAATGACAAAAATGTTATTAGCTAACTATGAACATTGAACAATGGATAAGAAATGCTCCTAAATTGAAAGGCTGTTTCATGTAGTAGTTAGTCAGGCAAGCTCTATAATTTTCCCATCCAGAAAATAGTAGTATAGCTTTGAATATTCAGGAACATTCTGTGTACAAAGCTGTAATTTTCAATAACACCAGTTCAATAGCACCATTTAACCAACATATATTTATTCCATACTGGGAAAAAATTCTGGGATGTATACCCCAGATATGGGCCCTCTGATTAGGAAAAAAAAGAAAAAAGAAAAACATTCTCCTCCCACCCCAAACTATAAAGAATATAAACAAACATGAAACACAGACATAAATGTTGGACCACACACAGACCTAATCAGGACTACAGAGATAAAAGCAAAATAGGTGGACTCGAGGCTTTCCTCTTCTTACATCTTCTAATAAAAAAAAAAGTAAAGTTGAAAACATAACTTACTTTCTCAAGCTGGTAATTGCTACTTTGCCTGTTAATCCTCTACCTCCTATAGATTCCACAGCTGTAGCCCATAATAGTCTATGTGGCATACCTTTGTTAAAATGGGGAGGGGGGCAACCAAGTGGCTTAACAAACACTGCATTGTTGTGTCCTGTCCTGTAAATTAACACACACATTATGTGCATCTGCACGACCCATAATGATCACTCATGTGATGAAGAGAGGGTTATGGATCTGATGTTACTTTCCCTCTTTGGAACATGGGTAATTGTCCCATATTAGTTGGGATAAAGTATAGCCAGATCAGGTCAACATGACACAATCCTAATATTTTTCATTGTCTCCGGTCAATTGCCCTTTCTCACCCTCATCTTGCAGAAACTACAGTTCCTATTCAGAATACAATGTTGTTATTTATTTAAAATACTCTCTCACACAGTTGCCTTTTCCACATTTTATGTTACTCCTTGGAACTGAAATGGATTAAATTGGCATTGTTACTGCTTCATGTAGACAAGATAATTGCATAGCAAAAGGAAAAAATATTTTTACTGTGTCACAAACCTTAAGTAAACAAAAACAAATGGACACTTGATAGTTGTGTAAATATTCACTCCCTTGAGTCAATTCTTAGTAATAATTACAGCTGGGAGACTTCCTGGGCAAATCTCTATAAGCACTGTGCATCTGGAACAGCAATGTTTGCCCATTTTTCCTGGCAAAGCTGTTCCAGTTCTGTCAAGTTGAATGAGAACTGTTAGTGAACAGCAACTTTCAAGTCTTGACACTGATTCTCAGTTGGATTGAGGTCTGGGTTTTGACTTGGCCATTCTAAGATGCTCAAGCTCTTGTGTTTAACCCACTCCAGTGTTACTTTGGCTATGCATTAGAGTCATTGATCTGCTGGAAGGTCAACCTCCAACCCAGTTTTGAGTCCCTTGCAGACTGAAAGAGTTTTTCCTGTAGAATTGCCTTGCATTTGGTGCTATTTACCTTGGCTTCCATCCCGACCAGTTCCCTAGTCCCTGTCAAGGAGAAGCATCCTTGCAACATAATGTTGCCACCACTATGCTTCACTGTGGGGGTGGTGATCTCAAGACAATGAACATTGTTGGCTTTGAGGCACACACAGCATCCTGCAGCAAGGCCAAAAAGGCAAGTCCCACATGCCTTTCTCTAAATTCCAAATGTGCTTTGATATGGGTTTGTTTCAGCAACAACAGAGAATATTATAGGAGATGTTCCTATAGATACCTTGATCCTAGGCTTACAAGCCACAGAGGGTTGTTGGGCTGTGTGGACCTGGGATCAGTTTGTCAGGGTGGCTTATTTTTTGCTCATAAACCATTCTGACAATTCATGACTTGTAGTTGGGTCTGTTTGACCCATGATAGGTTGTGTTGTCTAAACCTGGCTGGAAGGTGAAGCCCAACAAGACAGGTGGTTGGTGAGAGTGGCAACCCTCCTCTTTGACACTTTTGCCAAGTGGCTAGGAGACAAATGCTACTGAAAGTCACCCGCAGAGCACTCAGGTACAGCTGTCAAAGGCTTCCCCATATTGTCAGCACAGCAGTGGTTGGCAGCAGAATGGCGTTCGTTCTATCTATCTATCTATCTATCTATCTATCTATCTATCTATCATTTTATCTATCTAAAGTTTTTATATGCCGTCCCCTTGCTACATAGCCTCTATGCTCTAGACTCTTCTATTGCCGCCTGCTGCTGCACCAAGCCCTACAACAGGTTACAGAAACTGCTGCGCCTGGCTTGTGGGCTGACAGAAGTGATCTGTGCTGCCTTACTGTCTGCCAGCCAGGCAAGAAGCTGGCTAAAGCAATCTTGGGGGCCCCACCACCAGCCTGAAGGGGCTGGTGCCAGTAGGGCAGAAGGGAGATCACCTGGGCCAGCTGGCTATGAGCCCTTTTGGGCACAGATATCACTTCAGCTGACTTGGCAGGAGCAGGGGAGGAGAGGGACCTTTTCCCTCTGAGGTGTCCCCTGGGATATCTTTTTTTTTGTGGAAGTTTTTAAGGTTGTGAGGGGAGGAGGGGCAAAGGGATTGGATGACAAGGAAACTGGAATTCAAGGAGAATGTAGAAATAGAATTAGAATAAAGCAAGACTATATAAAAAAGGAAAGTTCAAATATTACCAGAGGAGAATAGAAAAAGGCAATGAATGCTAGAGAATGCAAAGAACTGGTAAACGGCAGTCGAAAATGAACTGTCAAAATGGCAGGAGCCTGCCTTTTATATACAGGGAGAGAGGGGGTGAGACTCCGTGGATAGTTCTAGGCTAAGCTAGAGAAATCTTCCTCGAGGGAGGCACTGTGCAGGCACAGCACCCATATTGTGTGATGCACAGAAACCATGACGGAGAACTGTGAGAAGCCCAAGGGGGAAGGAAGTGGGCCAAGGACTCACAATGTGTTCGATCATCTGTCAGGTACTTTGTATACACAGAGGCAGATACCCCATACAAGCCCTGTGAGTAGAGATTAAGCACTGGCCAAATTTAACCTCAAGAAGGGAAGACAGAGGGGAGATAGGTTAGCACTTGAAAGGATGTCACAAAAAGGAAAGACAGGATCTCAGTCATCCCAGAGTGCAGGACACAGAATAACGGATATGTGTTTGAGGACACCAAGTTCTGGCTGATCAGCAGGAAGAACTTCCTAACTGTTAAGAGTAGTATGACAACAGAACCGATTACTAGGGATGTTGTAAGCTCTCCCACACTAGAGGCATTCAAGGAGCAACTGGACAGCCACCTGAGAGGGATGTTTTAACTTGAACTCCTGCATCACGTTGGACCTGATGGCCCTCTGGCTCCTTCCAACTCTACTATTTTATGATTCTATAGTTCTGACTCTATGAAACTCACTAGGAGCCCTTCAGTCTGTCACTGTTCCTCAAAAAATCTCCTACATTGGTCTGAGGATAAAAGAGGAAAGGAGGGACATGTATGCTACTTTGAGGAGGCTAGGCAAAATGCAACAAATAAATGGAATATGATTTTGAGATTCAAAAACTTTAAAAATACAGAAATCCTCCAAACAAATGGTTTATATAGTTAAATGTTTGGTTTATACAGTTAAACTTTTCAAAGGCAAATCATTAAATGGTTTTGTTCAATCCATATTAAAAATGGACTTTTTGATACTACAAAGCCTATCATTTAAAAAGGTGTTTTTACATCTAGTCTTGGTTTTCTTTTCTTTTCTTTTAAAGTAGGACAAACTGAAAAAGACAACTGAGTGATGCAGCAGGGGTATGATACAGGATTATAAAATATTAGATTGTACAGTTCAAGTAATAAAATTGAGTAGATTCAGGATGGGGGGGCAAGCAAAAATACTTCTTCAGGCACTGCATAATTCATTTATAGAATACATTACCACAAGGTGTGGCAACAGTCACTAGCATAGATGGCTTTAAACTAGAATAATACAAGTTCATGGAGGGCAGCGCTATCAACAACTATGAGCCAACACCAGCTAAACGGAACTTCCAGGTTAGGAGGGAGTCTATCTATGAATATGCAGCGGATAAGTTATGGGGAGAGGATTTTGTTTTTAGTCCCTGAATGTACATTCTCTGGCCACTAATGAAAGCAAAATGTTTTCTTGATGGGCCTTTTGTCTGACTCAGCAAGACTCTTATGCTATAAAGTCTTTTCTGTGAAGCCATGGTCTAGCTTGTCACAGAACACCCAAAAGATTCTCTATTTGCATATTTGGTACCCTGCTATAGGTTTTTTTCCCTATACTATAAAATATATGCATGGAAAAACTTGGCAGCAGTGAAGGGATTCATTTTATAGGGCTCTAATTTTTAACACGATTACAACCAAATTGGCTCTCCCAGTATAACTTTAATTTTTCACAGTTTTATACTTCAGCTGTTTCAAATCACAGGCTGTCAAATGTTATCCTGTTTAAAACAGAACAAAATAGCAGAACCCTGCTAACTGGTATTTTGGTAAACCACAATCCCACAAGGCTTCACTGAGATGGAAATCCAGGTTTGCAGTTCATTGGAGCATAGAGCAGGAAGATTTTTGTTGTCAGGAAATGGGCAATACAAGTAACCATGCACTTCTCCTGAATATTAGTGGGGGGGGGGGCATTTCTCCCAGCCCATTTAAAGCATCACTTGTAGCTCTTACAACAAGGCTACCTCAAACATATTTCCCCTCTACAGGTTTAGGAAAAGGTTTATGTAGGTGTGTATACCCTGTTGTATGTAGAAACTATCCAACTTTAAGTGAAATTAGATTCATTTATAAATTGATTAGCTGCAGTTCCAAATGTGCAATTATGGCAGTTTTCACTGACAGAAAATTATTTCTATATAGAAAAAGTACCATACATGGAACAGTCTGTAGGTTTTGAAAGGATAGGCTTCTAGAACTCCCTCATTTTCTCTTATGAGAATATGTTAATTTGAGTACCTAATCTGCTTACTAAAACAAACATTCGTGCTGTTGGTTTTGGGAAGGGCACTTAAGGAACTTTGTCAAACAGGGGTTTGACAAAGGATTAAGTTGTAGACTGATACATTATAAGCTAGTCAGATCATATTCACCTTAGTGTCCATAAAGAATTCATATGTGAAAACTGCTGATCTGCTGAATTTTTTAAAAAACACAAATTATCATTACAATTAGCCTCCTTACAGATGACTGAAAAATAACCAATGTGACTCCATTTTTTTTTGAAATCTCAGTAACCGCTCACTTGGGTAAACTGGTACTGCTATTTAATTATTGCTGAGAATACATCAGCATGGTCTAGGCACAGGAAAGACCTGCTTCACCAACTTTTCAGAACTGTGTGAAAATGTCAAAGATTTTATGTATGTAAAAGCAATATTATACATATGAGCAACTTGGGTACTGAGTGCTAACACAACTATTAACAAGATGAAGCTCCTAAGGAACAAGAGGAAGGCACCAACATGTTCAAGGGAACCTTGAAATTTGCAGAACCGCCCTCCCGCAAAGTTTTAAAAATCAAACCTAGTATGGCAGTCCCCCAGCCCAAAATAAAACCAAGGAGGACTTAACATATTCCATTAGTCACAGAAGCTTGAGTGTAGTTGGAAAAGAAAACCAGGGGAGTGGGGAATAGAATCCATTGGCTGCCTAGAAGTGACTGATGCTGAAGACAGGAGAACAGGTGTAGTAGCCTAGGAAGTATCAAAATGCTGGTGGGTGGGCAGGAAAGGCTACTTGAGAGAAGGCAAATGACACAGGGCAGTAGGACATGGGGCATCCATGCACAGATTTCAGAAAATCTGACATAACTGAGAAGACTAAATCAGAACAGTTCTCAGTAAACATAAATAATGGTGAGAAAGCAAACAGGATTAGCCCTGCCTCTAAGTATACAAAATACGGTTCTCATCAGATAAAACAGACTGCAAGCAACTATGTTATAACAAAAGATATACTCTTGCACACTGTTTACTCACACTTATATTTAAAATTATAGGAAATAAAGTGCTTGGTGAGAAACCGTTTTAAAGCAATCATATTAAAAAAATTAGACAGCTGAATAAAGTAATTTTTAAAACATTTAAAACAAACACACATTTAGAAACATGACAGCAAAACAGCAGATTCAGGCTCCAGGCCTAATCCTACATTATAGGTCATCCTATTTGCCTATCAAGGATGAATTAAAACTGACTCAATTGCTCCCTGATACATTATGCCTAACAATGTCAGTCATAAAGCAAGAGACCAGGACAAGAGTACTTAGCTCCACATTTGTGAAATAAAAATAAGCAAGGTCTGTTATGGTTTCTAGAAAATATAAGGGAACATATTATATTCTAAGTCTGCAATCCTAGATATACTTACCTGAGAGTCAATCCCACTGGATTCAGTGCACTTGTGCACTCATTCCACAAGACTAGGCAGTGGGGCTACAAGATATTTTAGGTTCCTCAGCAGCATCTTTCTAAAGTCAACATTTAATATTTAGGAACGCGTTCTACTAAAAAGTAAAATAAATTAATTGAAACATACTGGGAAACAGCCATCCCAATCTGCTTCTTGTAAAACACTGAATATCCTGAATTCCCATCTCTATATATAGGATTTGCAGGTTTCTAGTACTATAAGAACCTATACTCCCATAACACAGAGAGAAGATAAGATAGTTGTTATTTCTAAAGATACACATGGACAGTTTTGTTTCGCTTTTTAAAGACAGCAAAAATCACCATTTCTTTCCATGGTATGGCTTGGGCCCAAAGGAGGGCATTGGGTGGGGTGGCAGGCAAAAGGTTGAATGACAAACCATTTTAAAGCAATCATATTAAGTTTCTTTACTTAGCACAAATGAATTGAATGGGGGTTTTTTTTGGGAAAAACAAACACCTGTTTTTGTTTACAATCAGCCTGCTTTCTAGTTATCCTTACCTGGCCTGTTTTATAATGCCTTGCAAATTGGTTCACCACTCTATAATCATTTGCAAAGTACTCCATCAAGATTGAGGGAACTTCAGCGAAGTCTGTAGAACATCTTGTTCCTGGAGAGGATATGAAAAAAATTAACATGCAGGTAGCCATAACTTTTATGTATGTTCTTCTTTCTTCCCCAAGCTCCTCTTAGCTTTTGACTTGCACTTTTGATGAACTGCGATAAATCATTCATTAAGTAAATACTTCATTTCTGTAATGTTATTGTACATATTGGCAGAACAGCTAAATTATAATCCTATACATTTTACTGCAAATCACTAAGTAAAGCATACTATTTGAACAGCTGGGTGAGGATCACACCCTTTATAAATGCAAGCCAGGTTGCAGTCAATCTGGCCCCACATTAAACACAAAATCTTTAATTGCCTAAACTCTATACCCAATTACAATAAAAATACAAACCATCCTTGAGAATTTAATCCCATTTACATCCCCATCTGTCTGATGAACACACAGAATTATTGTTCAGATGTTCTTTCTTTCATTGTTCAAGATGTCAGTCACTTGAAGAAAGGTGCTTTTACTCCCTCAAGACAATCAAGTACTTTTCTACTATTCAAAATTTCATTTCCGAAATCCAGCCTTTTTCCCTTTGTGACCTGTGAACTTCAAGCTTTTCCAGCTTTTAACTTTCATAAGCAACAAAACAATACTATTTGTTGTACGGTACATAAAATATATTTCCTCAATGAAGTTCTTCTGTTTTGTGGGTATTACAAGTTTTCAATACTCAGTCCTTAATGTACTAGCACGGTGATAATGTTATGTTCTGCCTTAGCTAACAGGGCAATTATGGCCTGGGCTGCTCTGTGGAACAGGAATGTCAGAAGCATTTACTGAACAGTGGTAGGTTAGTGACAGGCAACACTTTGCATCTTCAGCACTGAGGCACACATCTCCCTTGTTCTGCTCTGGGTCTGTTTTGGTTTTTTGTTTTTGTTTTTGTTTGGCTTATCTTAAAAGAAAATAATGATGAGACCTGTAATTTCCCATCTATTCCCCACTCCCCTTCTGCATCAAGGCTACATCATGTCTGAGCAGATCAGAGATTTAAGGGTCAAAAATATGCCCACATCTCCAAAATGATTTACATTGTTTGAATATGCTCTTACATCCTAATTGCCTCTGACTGCTTTTAAAGCAATAGCCAATTTATCAAGACATAAATAACTGCTCCAGTCTGGGATGCAACAGAACAATTCCGTGCCTGCTGCATGACTTATTCCCCCACTCTTTTCCTCTCAGAGATCACAAACAGTGGCCTGACAGCTGGCTCTCGCTATTCCTGGTCTGAGAGCCATGGATAGCCCATTCAGAGTGACTGAGTAACACCTCGAAGGACCTGTCCATAGCTGTCAGAAACCTTCTTGTAAAAAATGCACAAAAAGTATTTCAGCTTATTTTTTATTTTTTAGCTGTGGTTGCACAACTGTGAATCTCTGCAATTGCATGAGTTTAGGGATTTGAAATCTTGGCTGAAACAATGTCCAGAGGGCATGCCTGCTACTAAGATGCAGCAGGTACCAAATCCTGAACACTGCCAGATGACCCTCCGTCCCCCCCACACACACACCACTCCAGGCTCCCTCTGGTTTCTCTTGACAGATGTCAGGAGAATTCAAAGGCACAACTCCCCACTTTTCCTAGGGAAAAGAAGTATTGACAGCAAGCTGGTTGTCAAAACTCTGGGCCCCTAAGAAAGTAATTCTGACTAAGCAATGTGGGGTTTCTGACTAGAACATATACAGTCATATACATATGACATATACAGTCATATCTTCTAGTAAAAAAGTAGACATTGCCTTATCAGAAATCTTTTTTAAAGAAAGGATCAGTTATCAGTTTTGTAACAAATGAGCCCAGAAAAAAAATATTCTCAGCTGCCTTACAAGATAAAACTAAAACACCTATATACAGCATAACCAGATATAAAACTTACTATGAAATGTTTGCTTGTAAAAGTGAAGTACTTTTATGCCCTATTGCTTACCAGTAACATGTTGGTAGCGAGTTCTTCCCAGCATAGAATGCATAGCATGCCCCATTTCATGGAAAAGATTTTCCATCATTCCAGGAGTTAGCAATGTTGGTGAACCATTGGAGGAATGGGGCAAACTTAACATAAGGACAACAACAGGAAGTTGGTATTCTCCATTTTTCCTTAGTCTGCCTCCTCTTATTGTAAAGTGGCAATCCTATTTAAAAAAAATCAGAACACAGAACATAAGAAAAGCCCTGCTGTATCAGACCAGTGATCCATCCACTCGAGCACTCTGTCCACACAGTGGCCAACCAGCTTTAAACAGAATCTCTCAAGTGGGCTGGGTACAAGAGCTCCCTCCACCTGTCCAAATTCCTCAGCAGCTTGTGCATGCATGCATGCTACCTCTGGCAATGGAGGTTGTCCATAGCCAGCAAGGCTAGTGGTCACTGATAGTCCCCTCCTCTTCCATGAATTTGTCCTATCACCTTTTAAACCCATGCAAATTGGTGGCAATTAGCACCTCCTATGGCAGTAAATTCCACAGTTTAATTATACATTGTGTGAAGAAGTACTTCCTTTTATCTGTCCTAAATCTCCCACCAAGCAGATCCATGAGATAAACCCAGGTTCTAATATTATGGGATAGGGAGAAAAATGCCTTCTTCATTTTCTTATTTTATCCACACTGAGCATAATTCTGAACATGCATAATCATGGTTCCTTTACTCGCCTTTTTTCACAAGGGAGTTGCTCCAGTTCTTGGATTATCTTTGTTGCCCTTCTCTCCAATGTCTCCAAAAGTTGTCCAGGATGTTTGGGTGGCCTAATGGCTTTTTTCAGGTAAGGTGACCAGGACTGTAAACAATATTCTAAGTGTAGGAACACTAAGGATTTGTATAAGGGAAGTACAATCCTGGAAGTTTTATTTTCAATTCCATGCCTAATTATGCCTAACCTGGATTTTGCCATTTTGATGTCCATCCTCCTGGACAGGAAAGATACGCTTGGAGCTCTTTGCAATCCTGACTGATTTTAACTACTCTATATGTTTTAGTGTCATCAACAAACCTGGCCACTTCGCTGCTTATTCCTAATTCCAAATAATTTATGAATAGATTGAAAAGCATTGGCCATAATATCAGAATACTGTGGGATCCTATTAGTTACATCCCTCCACTTGAAGAAATCACCATCTATTCCCACTCACCGCCTTCTGTTCTTTAACCAGTTACTGATAAATAAGAGCCCCTCTCTTTCATGACTGCTAAAAAAATACTTCGGTATTTTGCCACATTGGTTTTGTTTCAAACACTTACAGAATCTGCTTATAAGTACAGAGTTTTCTGAAATTAAGCTGTTAAACTGTACCAATAGATATAGTGAATAAAGACTTTCATACCTGGCTGAGCAAAATAAGGTCTCTGGTCTAACTTAACTGTTTTAATATTCTTTTTTTAGATTTGTCCGTTTATTCTTAACATAGTAATGCAGTTGAATACTGAAATCCCTGAATAAAATCAAGTACATGCACCCAGTGAATAATTCTACATTTAAGACTCGTATCTTGTACTTACTATCAAAGGGAATAGGGGGAAAATACAAAATGGAACACAACAAATGGAACACAACTTTTGAGGATATAAAGCAATTGTTCTTATGCCTGCATCTCCACCCCTGTCTAGAATGTTCTTCTACAGAGTGCAGACAGAACAAAAGGATGGAAAAGCCTCCCTCATGAGTTCTGTCAGGATCATAGGATCCTAAGAAACCATGGCTCTGAGGATCCAAGCCTTAAGACCCAATCCTTTGCATACTTCATGGATTAAGCCCTTTAACTCAGTCTGAGATACTTCTGATAAAAGAAGAATTGCACTGAAGGACATCAGGATGGAAGTTAACTGAGGACACAGTTTTTCACTTCAAAGACAAACCTGAGCTTGATACCTACATCCATGGACAAAACCCCAGAGTCAAGCAATACTTCTCACAGCCTGAGATTACAAGACCATAAAAGTGCCAGCATTTAATGAGAATAAACAAAATGAGATAAATGCAGGCTTTAATGGAAATATAACTTCAAAACATTTTACTTAACCTAACATACAGCATTTTTACTGCCTCAACTGGTACTATTTATTTTTAAGAAAAACTCTTCCTTATTGCTCAGAAGGGCTAGGAGCAACCGATTCTGGCATATGATACTTTCAAACAAGATGTCAATTGTACGAAAAGCATAAAATGTACTAACATAAGTAAAAGCTGACATATGCTTCACCCCATGTCAAAAAGGCCCCTACTACCCTACTATAAGTTACATCTGGGGTCATTTTTTTACCCCAGAAAACGGACCTTCAGACAAGGAAAACACTGCATATGAAAGGTTTTTGTTCTAGCTGAATTTTTCCTTCAAGGGGTTTCAGTGAACATAAGAGTGGCTTTCAGCTGGCAGCAAGTATAGAGAATTTGTGGTAGAATCTTTCCTGAGGATATGCATAACAATACAATCTGTATACCAGTGGTTGGCATATCAACATTTTCTTTGCATAACAGCAAGTTGGTCTACTAACTTGAAAAGAAAAATTAAAGTTTCCCTCAATGGATTTTAATTCTATTTGTTGGAGGTTAAGAATTGTAGCTTTCAAAAGAGGCCAAGATAACCTGTATTGAAGATTACCTTTTTTTGTTCCTTTGGGGCCTATTTTGGGGAGTATAAAAGTACTTCACAGAACTATTTTCACAAGGATTTGGGCAGCCTTGTTTTGGTTTATTAAAAAAAAAGCTAGGATGCCCCAGACACATTTTGGTTTATTTTTTTTTTTAAGCCAGCATGCTGAAGTCTAGGGACTTTTTAAACTAGGCACTTTGTGATAATGTCCTATAAGGAAAAGTCGAAAGAACTTACAATACAGAATGTGAGCTAGGAGATTCCAGTTGCCCCAGGATGTGGGATTTATTCACAGCAACATAGTTAAAAACAATATAAAATATTGATTCCATTATAAAATGGATTGAATTGATAGCAAAATCTAGTAATCCTCTGAGGCCTCCATGCTTCTCCAGTATGGAAAAGACTTAGGTGGCTGACTTTTGTACCTGATTATGAGGAAGAAAGGCTAAGGAATCATCAGAATACACTGTATCCCGATGCAGCCTCATTCTTTCTCCTCATTCTTCCCCTCCCATCCAGTGCTAGGGATGCATTGAAACAGGCAACTCTAGTTTGTTTGAGCTCAACACATTTCCTGCCCACTTCTAATCTGATAATTGAAAGTTAAGTGTGATGTCCCTTGACTGATTTATATAAACAAATGACTTTCTGTAAGTAATTATTATGGGAGGAGCGGGGAGGTGGAGAGGAAAGTAGCTTTTATAACTTTATAATGGCAGTTGTTACCTGATGAGGCTTGTTTGGTCTTTGAAAGAAATCACAGTAGATATATCCCAATAATCCTTCTTGTTCATGGACAACTGCCTAAAAATATAAGTGAATGTAAAACAGTCAATAACCTATGATTCAGTATTGGTTTTATTTTTAAAAATTGTCTAAACATAGTTTTTTTTTGATAATGAACACAACTAAAATGAAAATTGTAAAGTTTTGAGTATCACTAAAAGTTTCAGTTCTGCAGTTTATCCAAATGGATGAGTCATGAAGTAATATATAAATAAACAACACCTTTTAAGCAATGTTTGACATGTTAAATGTGCTTCCAACTGTATATCACAATTAAACGTAATGGGTGTAGATCTAGTAGGAAGCAGTTATGAAAGATTAGCAAGGAATAGTTAATCTACTTTACAGAGATTTTGATGAATGACAACCCTGCTGGGACTCTGGAGCAGGGTGGAAGTGAGAAAGGTGACTTATTAGAGAGCATTAAGAGAGGAAATTAAATTAAATTAAAGGGACGAAGAATATATGTGCACTTATATTTGGTAAACCTGTTTTTAAACATTTTCATAGTTAAAGATTCAAGGCTGATCTTAATGACATATTTCCCTACTGTTAATTACTACTTTGGGAGTCCCTTGAATAGGGAAAAGCAGGGTACACTTTCAAACAGCAACATATGATCACATATAGTAATTAAAAAAAAACAACGCTAAATGGATGGAAGATATGTATCTGTAATACTAGAAGAGCTATGCAATTACCAAAGCACCCATGACCTTCTTTGAAGGTTATGCATGTCAGTCATCCATCTCTGAACTGTACAAAATTTGAATCCTTCGATATTTGCAAGTTGTTTGGAAGGATTAGCATGAGCCTTGGCTAACTAGTTTTCTAAGTCTTATTGTTAGGAGAGAACTGTAATCAGTTCAAGTTGAAAAACCTCAGAAAACAGCGCAGAAGCCTCCTTTTCCAAGGAACCAGACATTACAGAGGGACCAATCCCATGCAATTTTGGTTCCAGATCATCTTTATCGTCTTTATCTGGCAACACTGTTGGAAAAAACCACTAGGATACACTTCTGTGCTCTAAGAACATGGAACTTCTGCCTGCCTGACGGCCATTTTTTTAAATTTCATTTTTATACTGCCCAATAGCCAAGGCTCTTTGGGCAGTAAACAAAAGTTAACATTAAACAAAAGTTTAAAAACAAACACACAAAGATTTAAAACATCAAAACCATAATAGCAATTGCAATTGAAGCAGCACAGAAACATAGCAGTGGTGCAGAATAAAATGCAATATATAAAAACAAATTTTAAAAGTTAAACTGTTAAAATGTTGCGAAAACAAGGCATTTTTTCCACCTGGCATCAGAAAGCATGCAAAATAGGTGCTAGGAGTGCTTCTTTGGGAAGCTCATTCCCCAACTGGGGTGGCCACAACCAAAAATGCTGTCCTCCTGGTAACCACCTGCTTCACTTCCTTTGGAAGGGGCTTCTGGAGAAGAGCCCCCCCATGACCTCAGGGTTTGGGTAGGTATATATGAGAGGAGGTGATTCTTCAGATAACCTATCCCCAAGTTGTTTAGGGCTTTGACTGTTAATACTAGTACATTGAATCAGGCACAGACTTTAACTGGAAGCCAGTGTAGCTGGAAGAGGATTGGCATAATATATTCTTGTAAGCAAGTCTCCGTTGACAGTCCAGCTGCCCTGTTCTGGATCAAGTTAAACTTTCCAGACCATTTTCAAAGGCAGCCCCATGCAGTAATCCACATGAAAGGCTACCAGAGCATGGATAACTGTAGCTAGGCTCTCCCAGTCTAGGTAGGATCATAGTTGGTATATCAGCTTAAGTTGATAAAAGGTGCTCTGTGCCACCAAGTCTACTTGTGCCTCAAGTGACAGTTCTGGATTCAAGAGCACTCCCAAACTATGAACTGTGTCCTTTAGCAGGAGTGCAACCCCATACAGAATAGGTTGATTATTACCCAACTGGACAGATGAACCACCCATAAGAGCACCTCTGTCTTATCTGGACTGAGACTCAACTGAGGCCCTCATCCAATCCAGTACTATGCTCAGACTATGATTCAGAGTGGTCTCTGCCTAGCCTGGGTTTGATGAAAAAGAGAGTTAGAGCTGAGTGTCATCTGTTTATTGAGACCTTCAGTATAGACAGGGTATAAATGTTTAAAATAATAAGTAAATAAATAAATGTTGGTGGTACCTCTGGATAACCCCGCCCCCAGTCTTTCATGTAGGTGTTGAATAGCATACAGGATAAAATTGAAACCTGCATTGGCATAACATGGGTAAAAGGGGATATTTTGGGGACAGGGCAAGGAAGAGATTGCAGGGGACAGGATATGGACTATTCTGAAGCCACTCCAACCTCCTTTCTTCCCCCATCAAAACAAGCTGGCTAGAAAGACAAAAAAACTCCCTATTTAGTGAAATATGCAGGCTGGGAGTACAGAGGGTTAAAGATCTCCTCTATTGTTCCTCCTAACTGAATGAGATGAACAAAAGCTTCTTACTAGGATCACACCAGAATTGTAACCTAAATCACTAATGTATGTACAGCAAGATTAAATTTCTGAGGGCCTTTGCAGGTTAAAGAGCTGTATAAAATGATGGTGTTGGAGCCAGATTAAGTTAGCCATATTTTGGTGTCAAACCTCTTTGTTTCCACTGAAATGAGTTAGTTAAATTAGTAATGACTAACTTGATGGGATTTCAACCGGGTAAACCATGAGTACATGAGTCTGGATACCAACCATTCTCAACATTCCAGGGACTGAACTTAAGTGGTGCCACCCATGCTGTAAATGAGGGGAAGTGTTACTCCAGAAAATGTCTTCCTTTTGAAGCATCATGCAAATTACATTCATTGGCTACCTTTATTGCACTGGTCCACAACAGTCAGGATTTAACAATTCTTACCAGTTTACGAACGTCCTCACACCATACTTCTCCCTTCTCAGGCTGTTCAGCATAAAGAGAGATTCCTAAGAGCTTATTGAACAAGCTGTTCAGTCCTTCCATACATGCTCCAAGAGAGAAAAAGGGACAATATAAACTGGGTTCAATATTATACCTAAGATAAAGAAAAAGAAAGTTGGATTACAAAATGTCACAAGTGTGCAATCAACACGTAAATGAATTAAACACTAGAAACAGTGTAATTGCTAACATTCAACAACAAGGCCGAAAGTAGGCATGATGAGAATTGTTAAGCTGCGACTGAAAACAGCAAAATATATGCAAAATATATGTTATGGTATCACTGCACTTCAAGTTTGCTTGCCTCACTTTAGCAGCTGTTCCGTGTCTGTAGAGGAAAGAAAACTCAGAACAAACTGATATTACACATTTTCTATCACCAGATATGCAGGAGCAAGAGAGAGAATTTTGTCGAATTCTTTCTTTCGTTGTTGCAAGTGCCACATTAAGAACATCGAATGTCTGCCTAAACAACCATTTGGTTGTGTCAACAAAACTTCCCAGTGAGAAGTCTGCAGGTAGACATGAGTACATTCACACCCCTACCTTGCTCAACAGACTATGTACAGGCAGTCCCAAGTTATCAACATCCAAGATATGAACAACCTATACTAATGAGCAAACTGCCATAAAGCCCATTATTTAAAAAAAATTCTTGCAAGGAATCATCATTTATTTATTTATAACATTTTTATGCCGCACCCATAGCAGAAAGCCTCATCACCATAGAGAGAGGGGGAGTGGAAGGAAAGAGAGGCAAAGCCTCCAAAGCATCACCATCCAAAGAGGGAAATCTCTCTTGCATTTCCTTGTTGCAAATAGGAAGCACAGGTGAGTTTGGGTGGGTGGGTGGCTAGAGATATTCATGGTCTTTCTACTTTCATGGGGGTCCTTTGCCCCTAACCTCTGTGACTATGGAGGGCCAACTATATGCCCTCAAAGCAAAACGACAGTGGAACAAGCTGCCTAGAGAGGTGGTGGGCTCTCCCACACTAGAGACATTCAAGAAGAAACTGGACAGCCATCCAGGATTGCAGACCTCAACAGTTTCTTGAAAAAAGAGACAAACAAGGAGTACAAAACTTTCAGCTACAATTCTCCCAACACACCACCATGCATATGATAAATTCACACATAGTTTCTCACTCATGACTAAGAGCTTTGGAATGCAATCCTATGCATGTTTTGACAGAAAATGAGTTCTGTCTAAACATGCTTAGCTTTGTGCCCTTGGGCATTTTTTGAAAAATGGAGAAACACACACATACTTTGTTTTATATTTAACAGTAAAAACAGGATGGACAGCCGGAAACATATTGCCTAGGCATGCTTCATCTACCCAACCAGACATCTATAGGAAATATTCTAATCGTCTGCTAATGTGACTATTTTGTCTGTATAAAGATGCCCCATTAAAAGCAATAGCCAAAGCAAGTGCTGAGTCAAGTCAAAGCATTATTTTACTATATTTCTAAGCATGCAACACAAACAAAACTACTTCTGTCTGATGGCAAATCATTTTGGAGTGTTGCATTATTTTATTTTTTAAAGTTTGTACTGCATCTCTTAATCTGCAAATAAAAATGTAATAAATAAACATAAACAGATATAAGAGGCCACTCATTTTTTAAAATGAATAACTGACAAAGCAGTGTAATATAAAAAAAATTGCAGAAAGGTGACAAATTGATGCAAGAGCTCCTCCTGGTGTTTGAACTTCAGAAAGTTACTGCATAGAGTTTTGGAACCAAACATCTTGCTATATAAGCAGAAAGCACTTGTTCTTAGGCCACAGAGTTAATTAATTGTTTGATTTCCAAGTGTCCTGTACTGACTAGGGATTCAAGATACCTTACATGGTAGCTATACTAAAAGCAGGAAATTGGTAGACTTGCCCTCTGCAACCATAGGTGATCTCTGGGCCAAAGACATTGCAGAACTTAAATATTTCTTATCATATACCATCTCAAATTAGTGACAATAAATCAACTTTTTCACAGAAGAATGAAATTAAGAAGTAAGATTTTTCAGCTAACAGAAGTGGTGGTGCCACCCAAATGTTTTTCTAGTAAGCAAACAGCAGTGCACAAAGGAAACTTAAAACAACTTACTGAGAGAGAGATAAAAGAGGCTTCCCAAGGAGGTAGCAGATTCAAGACAAGATAGCATGTTTTGCTTTAAAGCTGTAGGATTGTTCCCTAATCAAAGTATTATTCTGTCACAGTAGCACAAGATATCCCAATGCTCCTTTAATGTTTTACTCAGCTTTGTAATAAGGAATACCTCATCATCCTTAAGATATGTATATTTTAGCTGGTTTCAACATGAACATATAATGTACAATGAATACTTACGATAAGAAGCCACCAGCCTGACCTTATTTAAACATATTAACTGTAGGTATAGCCATATCAACAAATCCAACAAATAGCAGAGTTTAAAGTCTAATTTTTCCAACCACGATCAACACAATTTTGAAGAAGAGTGACCAAATAATTTTTTACCTGTTTTACCCTGCACAAAAAAAATAAAACTTACCATACAGCTAAATCTACAGTGACCAAGCAAAATATGTACATGGAAAGTTTGTGATTCATGCTTGGTTCTGATGTAAGCTCAAACAAAGACACACACACATATGCAATTACAAACAGATAAAAGAACAATGATTTTCTACAGGAGGATAAACAAATAGGTGCAATAGCTTTTTAGTAACTGAAAACTCAGACTATATTAGAATGCAAAAAAGACCTAGAAGCACCAATGACCAAACCAGAACACTTACCTCTCAGCACGCAGGACACCACTATAGTATGGATGATCCCAAGGCATTAGTTTCTGAAAAACCAAAGAATACTTGTTCTGAAGCTTAACATAAATCAAATAAAACATGTCAGTTACACAGCTTACCATCTGCTTAATAAGGTTCTTGTTATTTTTTTAATGTGAACCTTAACAGCAATGATGAAGAGAAGGGGGCATGTGTTATAAAACAGCACAGTTAAAATTTTCAGCTGTCCAGTATGTTTTTACGTACGTCATACACAGGAAAACAATTTATTTATTACATTTATGTAGTGCCTCATTTTTCAGGCATTTTACAAAAACATACAGATAAGAATATGATGAAATTAATAACATAAAACAAAGAGGTTGCCAATTCAGCATAGAATACACTAACAAGTACAAGGTAAAATAAGATTGCAAGGACTAAAAATACAATATCAACTTATCAAAATGTTTAAGAAATACTTCTAAAACTTTTAAAGATTTCAGAGAGAACACAAAAGTCTTAGCACTGAAAAGTCTGGCACTGAAAAGATACCAGAGTTGCATAACTATTCTGTTTGGGCTGACTGGCTGCACCTAGGCTGAGTGACTGCATTCATTATTGTCTTTTGTTTCACTGGATTCTGTCAGGAGATCTGGAGGATGACCTGGGAAATTAGTGGTCAGAGATTGGAAGCTAGCCTAATAGGGTTGTGTATGCACAGACCCCAGAGCCCTTTTCAGTAATATGCATCCAGTATGATTCCTTAGTATTATATGGCGTCTGGACTAGCTGCATCAGGAATGAACGCCAGGATCTTTGCAGGGTCAAGCATGGCAAAATCTTCAGGTTCTGGCTGCAGGTCAATAGCCCAGCTGCTGCAAATGACAGCATGGACCCTGAGATAAGGACATACAATGTGGCTGGTTCCACATACAGCTGCCAGCAGCTATGTGATACTGAAAGATGGTGCTACCTGTGCCAAACATTCAGGGCAGGCAAGTTAAAGATTTAAGTAATACATTCTAAAAACTTCCACTTACATTTATTTAACTAAATTGTCTCAATGGGTACTTGGGAGTCCCAAATTATACATCACAAAGCAGGGCTATTAGAAGAATCATGCAGCGACACAGTGAAAGTAAATGATTTGTGAATAAATAAAGAAGGGTCTGCCAATTTATAAGGTAAGTGCATACCATTCTTCAAAAGTCTGCATGAACTAATTGAACGTAATGTTTAACATACATTAGGGAACACATTACATTTTCCACCTTAAATTTGGCTTCTATATAAATCACTGTGTTTAAAACAGTATCTTCCTTTCAGATTTCCTTAGAGAAAAGAGCCTTGAAACCCAATATTGCATTAACATGAAGCTGAAAGCAGGAGAATGATTAGATTACACCAACATATAACTGAAGTTATAAAAACTGTTTTTTCAACTATAGTATTTAACTCATTCAAGTTATGGGAAAATAAATTAATAATATAACTTACTGATTTAACAGGATTAAGTTTCACTTTCATAGCTTCCATCATTTCAAAATCCTTCAGAGTTCTACAAAACAGTTTTAAGTTTTGTTAAAGGGCTTTTCAAAAGATATGCAGTACAATTTCTTAGACATTTATTTGTCCATTGTACAAATATATACATCATTTAAGCAAAAACAAAAAATTAACATCAAGTGCCTGAAGGAGCTGTGTGTCTTCTCTGTTCTTTCAGTTATTTACAGAAAGGGATAATTCTGAACAATAGGGAAATTTTCTGCTAGTTTTCCCTCTTTTTATTATTAGTAAATAATGGACAGAATGAATCTATGGCCACTAGATATTGCCTGGGGGACCACAGGGTAGATCAGATTTTCAGCTCTGGAGTCGGAGAGAGCACCCTATACCACTCTGTTCTCACAGATCAAGAAAGCAACGTTGGAGAGGGGTCATAGGAAGTTGTTTGGGGCATGGAGGACAGGATTTGAGTGGCCAGGATGCGAGACATCCTGAAACTGCTTCCGCTGTCACCTTTCCCTGCTGAAGTACCATTGCTAGATAGCTGAAAGCAGCTGCCTACTTAAAGTGTAGAAGGGAAAGAGCAAGCAAGCGAAGACTAGATCTCCTCCTGCTCGCACTGGAGGTCCATGTGCTTTCAGTCCACCCCTGCAGGACTACTCCCTGAGTTCCCTCATATAAGTCTAACCTGACCTATCTGTGAGAAGATTTATTCTTTAATAAATAGTACAATAAGTTTTAATCAAGATTTGCAGAAAAAGAAAATCCATTCTGAATTATAAGGATATTCCCATTGCTAAATTACAAGAATTTTTCCTCAAAGAATGGAACATTCATTCTATTTAATATGATTAAATGAAAAAATAGACTCACCGACTGAGTAACTTATCTGAAAGCTTTTCAAGAAACTGCATTACTTTCTCTAAGAAAAAGAAAAAAACAGAATGGAATTTAAAAAGTGACTGGTGCAGGAGAAAAACAAAATACCCAAGGACAGAAAAAAATAGAACTATAAAATGCATTTAAAATAAACACTGCATAATTCCAAAATGTATTCAGGCAACAATGAAACAGCTTAAATGTTCTAATCATCTGTTTTTACTTGTAAATAAAACCATGAACATCATTTTCCTTGAAGTGTTGCGTACTTGCGGTTTTCTGAAGAGATCATTTTGAGACTGACACAAATCACAGCTAGTCATAAATTAATGAACAGATAAACACTACAACGTTTCTTTTAGCATTTACTGACACCAGTTAAATTAAAATGCAGAAGTTTGAGTCTTAAAGTATTACACCAGTCACTGGAACTTTTGAATAAAGGGAATATACCGTATAGGGCAATTTTTAGGTCCATTCACAATGGAACATAAAAAATAATCTTACTCAACATAACAATTAACAGCAACTGAAGCACTAACAATAAACATAATTACTTCACTGACCCTTCCATGCAGTATGTTTTCTATAATGATGCAATTTACTGAAAATGTTGACCATATTTTATGAAACATGTGCACAATCTGCATCACCTCACAGCCAACACTTATCCACAACAACTTGCATAATTTACATCTTCTCCTTAAAAGAAATTTGAATTACCTGGGGTTTTGATCATTGTTCCCTGAAGAGCCCGATGAGCAAATGTCTCATATCCAACTAACTGAGCAAGGAGGTTTCTGCTTGTAAGCAGTTCCTCTAAACAATGCAGTTGCCGAGCATTTGGGTAGAGAAAAACCTTGTAGGCTACTTCACGTACCTAATGTTAATTAAAATTAAAAGCAATGAACAAACAGTTCTTATAACACTAGACTACTTAGACCAAGTTTATACTACAGGGTTAATATTGTATCATGGGGTGGGTAGCCTTTTTCAGTTTAAGGATTAAAATCTAATCTGAGTAAAGACTCCAGCACCACATTCCATCTGTGGTTGTGGCCAAAGTGGCAGTGACAATCTCTAAATGGGGACAAACTATAATTTTTACTAATTTCAAACTTGCTTAGAAGTAAGTGGGATAATCCTCTGCATGTAATTTATTTATACCACTTAATAAAGTATCTAAATAGTTGTTTCTACTCATAAGCAAGTGATACTGCCTCACTCAGTAACATTTTCAAATGAAATTCCAAATATCAAGCCTTTGCATGTCTCCCCAGAAGTAATCAAGACATGTGCCCAAGAGAATACTGCAGAAACACTGAGATAAACACTTGGGATGTGCCAAAGCTAAAGGGGGGGGGTGATTTTGAAAGTGGGAGTGCCCATCAGCAAAGGCTTCACAGGTTCAATTAGTAAGCTGCATGATCTAGAGGTTGTCCGTCCATTGTATCACCTATTAGTAACTTAAGAAATGAGGTCACAGGAATTATCACTTTTCTATTTATTTAAAGAATATTAGAAATTATACTTCTAAAGAAATTACACCCCCACATTAGTTACCAACTGGTGAAGTACTTATTAAAAGGATAGCATTTACATTTTTTGGCATCATCCTTAGGGTCCAGATTTGGATTTTCATACATGCACGTAGACCCAGGAGGATGGTTCCATAACACCATCATCTCCCTCATCCAGCAGTCAGAGGTTAATTTGCATATGAAATGGACTGATCAGCTGCAAAGCTCATTACTCCACAGCAGCTACAGGGGCTGAAAGGTAGCCTTTAGTTCTAGGAAGTCAAGCATATTGCTGATTCTGAGGTATAAGCCACATGGGACAATGGCAGATCTGCATATTAAAACTAGTTCTACGTTAATCCCATGAGGTATGGGAAGGAAAAATATCTAATTTAGAGCAGAAGGAGTAAAAATATGAGAAGAGCAGAACTTTCCCCCTACCTGCCACTTCACCACAGCCTCCACACAACATGGGAGGAAGGTCCAGGAAAGTAAGCCAGTGGAGGGATTTAGCACGTCTTTTCCATACCTCCTTTTTGATCTTAGAATTAGATCTCCCACCTTACATACAATTGGAGCAGGCCCAGTTCAGTGACATCAGTCTGCAGCCAGCCATATGTAATTTGGACTTGCCTCACATATGGTAAAAGGTAAAGGTTTCCCCTTGATGTTAAGTCCAGTCATGCCTGACTCTAGGGGGCGGGGCTCATCTCCGTTTCCTAGCCGAGGAAGCCAGCGTTTGTCCGCAGACGTCTCCGTGGTCATGTGGCCAGCATGACTAAACACCGAAGTGCACAGAACGCTGTTACCTGCCCACCAAAGTGGTACCTTTTTATCTACTTGCATGTGCATGCTTTCAAACTGCAAGGTTGGCAGGAACTGGGACGGAGCAACAGGAACTCACCCCATCGTGCAGATTCAAACCTGCAACCTTTTGATCAACCAACCCAGCAACCACTGCACCACCTGTCTGCAGCCAGCCGCATGTAATTTGGACTTGCCTCACATATGGTACAGCTTTCCTATTTGTGCTAGCTGAGCAATAATTTTTTGCACACTGTAAAATGGCACACGTGTTTACAGAAATAGCTCCATTTATTGATAAATTAATACCAACACCCCACATAGGTGTTGCTGTAATGTATTTAACATATACATACCAAATCATCTGGACTATCTGCATTGAGACCAGTGATTAGGGCGTAACTGCCTTCAACTGCAAAGTTATGCTGAATATGTTGTGGTAGGATGTGCTTCTCAATCTTGTTTGGCAAATGAGATCCCATGAGAAATTCATTACATAAATCCAGTATTTTGACATTGAGATCTACTGCTCTCCTACGCTGCAAATCCAAAATACACAAAATAGGTATGTCTTTCAAATATAGTTCCATTAACATTTTAAGAATTCCTAGGACAGGGCATGGGAACCTGTGTTCCTTCTCTAGACTATAACTCCCATCATCCCTGGCCACTATCTCTGTTGGCTGGAGCAAATGAGAGTTGGAGCGCAACAGGTCTTGGATGTTAATGGCATGGCACAACAAATAGGCATCCCAATTATTGGTGTGTGTTTCTTCTGAGATAGAGATTTTTGTGTATAAACTGAGGCCATAGTATTTAGGATATCCTACTTTTAGGGCATAAGTCCACACTGGTGTAATCACTGGCTGTAGCATTCTGGGATCTTAATGTTTGAATCAACGAATATGTAGGCAATCTTACGCACACTAGTGCTTCAAAAACAAGCAAAATGATCTCCAATAGTGCATCCTGTTTGTAACTTTCATACAGTTAAAAATTCATTGTAAGTCACTCAGAGAGCCTCGGCTACAGGCAATATAGAAAATATTATTATAATTATTTTAAAAGATGCCATAGATTTAACATTTACTAACTTGCTCCTGCCTTTGGAAGCTTGTAAGCCTCCAAGTTCAGAGGCTTTATGGGGGCAATATGATAGCATCTTACGGGCACAATCCTACACATGACCAAATGGAAAAACGTCCTACAGCTCTCAGCATACCTCAGGCAGAATACTGGGAGTTGCAGGTCTTTTTGTCTAAAAAATATATATGTACACACACACACACACATTGGGTCTTAAATTAAATGCATTTCTAGATGCCTCAGCCAACAATCTCTCATTTATAGTGGAAATAATTACCTTTTTTCCATCCAAATGGATACCACTGATCTCAAAATCAAACATGAAAAGTTCTGCCACTTTCCTAAAAGAAATTTAAGAACAAATAATTGCTAATAGTTTCATTCTTTTCAGACACATTACATTTTGTGGATCTTTATCTTATAAACCAAGTTCTTCTGTGTCAATTTGACTACATTAAGAGTGGTTAAGTGAGGCCATTGAGTTCAAAAGGATTTACACCAACATAAGAAAGCATTCTAATCTATTTTGTACAAGCGAGCGCGGGCGGGGGGGGCGAGCGCGGGGGGGCGGTGAAGCGGTGCGCGCGGAGGGGTGGCAAGCATGGGCGGCAGCAGCTTGCTCGCTGGAGATGGGTAGGAAAAGTGGGGGACATCCTATACATGGGGGTGTCTAATAGATGGAAAAATACGGTAATTTTAAAACTAATAAATCTATACATAATCACTCGACAAACTGGACAATCACTAGACAAACTATCCAATGCTACTGCCTGATGCTACTGAAAACAGGTTGCAATAGTGATCCACTCTGGGAGCAATAAAGTGTCTCCCTTATGAAAATATGTCTGTGTGCTACAAGTGATTTATGAAACTAAATGCCTCAGGATGTTGTTCTAGCTTTTAAACAGAATAAGGTAAGTAAATGGAAACTAGGTCTGTTAGTAGCTATAAGCAAAATTCATGTTTAAATATAAACTGCATGCTTTCATCTCTTCTAATGATATATAGATAGCATCATGCCTTCTTTGCAAATTTCTTTGCACAACACTGACAACTGCTCTCAGTTTTGGCAAGGGGAGCAAGAAGGATGGGGATGCATGATAGGACAGAGTAGCAACAAGTTGTCCATGCAAGTTCTTAGACAAAAAGGGAACACAAACCACATTTAAGATTGCCAGTAAAATCAAAGAGTGAAGCATGCTGACAAACAAGAGACAGCCACCATGTTTCACAAAGACCCCTGCAGTTTCAGACAAGAGAGTACATTTTGAGGCTGGCTCGAATAATGTTGCTGGAAGCATGGGACATCTATCAAAGAAAGCTGAACATTGTATAGCAGTAGCTGAAGGCATGTCATTACACTTACATTACACTAATAGCTATTAGATTAGTTTAGTCAAATTGTAAAAATTTCATCTTAGTTCCAAGACTGAAGTAAGTCACAGACTGACAATCATTACATAATCTGAAAATGGTTTCACACTGTATCATCAAGCAAAGGAGATACAAACTCATGTTCTTCAGCCATTTTAAACTATAATTCCCATCTGCAGCTAATTATCAGGAATTATGGGAGTTGTAGTACAAAATATATGGAGGACATGAAGTTGCCTCCTCCAGTTGTAAGGCATGTTGATTTATTCAAATAGCCAGATTACAATAAGGAAAACATTACCGTAACAAAACGAACAATGCATACCTTGTTTCTGGATCAAGGGAAGCCATAATATCTTTATCAGCCAACAGTTTTCTCAGGCTTTGACACAAATCTACATCTGTATTTAATCTAGAAACATAGAGGTTTGAAGAACTAATTATTACCAATACAATAATTTACTTTTAGGTTTTAGTTCTCTATTTTCTGGTGTGCCTTATAAACTAATGGTACAATCCTATAAAAATGTAGACAGGAATAAGTCCTACAACTCCCAGTACTGTTCAACTAGCATGACTAGCTGGAAATTGCTGGGAGTTGAAGGACTTTTTCCAGCTAAACATGCATAGGATTATGCCCTAAATTGTTTTCAGACACCACTGAATGCTACTATAACTATAAACAGTGGAAAGTGGAAAAGTCATAGCAATTCTGTTCACAGTGTGCTGATGTACATGCATATAGCATATTGAGATCCATGGGTACGAATATTTCAGCAGAAAATATTGTCCTAGGGTGCTTCCACACTGGATTTAGTGAAAAGTTCACGTTTCATTCACTCATTCACCTTTTACAGGGCATCCATGCAACAGCATCATCCAAATATTGTTCTCCTGCATTTTCTTTGTGTTTTTTTCATCTTTGCTCAGACTGCAGAAAGTCCAGCCTTGTTTGGAAGGATGGAAGAGCAGCGCAGGAGCGGGTGGCCCCAGTGCAACTCTTCCATCTATCTACAGGGCCAGGGTTTGAAAATGTGCAGTGATATATCAGGCAGATGAAGGTATGGCCACTCAGCACTTTTCCACTATCACCTGTCTGGACAGTGCCCTCAGTAATTTTAATGGATTTTTAGTAAGTGCAATATTTAAACAAAATACTATAGCACAAACTTACTTTTCTACCATCGTACCAATGCTTCTGCAGGCATCTTCAGCAGCTTCTCTAAAAGCGTGGTCAGGATGGGCAATTTTCACAAAGTCAGCCTGATGCGATAGAAAAAAGAAATAATACTAAGAAAAAATTGTTTTGACAACCACAGGAAAGTTAGAAATTCCAGTTAGCTTCATATTATTATTATTATTATTATTATTATTATTATTACATTTCATATGTACTTAAATTGACAGATGAATCTTTTTTGTACCCTTCATAAAACAATAATCTTGCTTAACATGACATTTTCCCTAAATTGCCTTCAGGTAAAGCAATTTACCTGCACATAGTGACCTGGTGCTCACATAATGCCATTTCATAGGTTGTTTAGCTTATGACTTGGCATGGCAGCAGGGTTGTGGAGTTGGGAGTCATGGAGTAGAAACCAATTCTTAGTTACTGGAGTTGGAGTTGGTAAAATGTACCAACTCTGACTCCTAATGAATTTAAATTGTAATATTAATAACATGTTAAAATTTGCTATTTCACAAATAATAATTTGAGTAACTTAATTTTTTCAAGTTATATTTTCAGGATACATTTTAACAGATTACGGTTCTAAAAAGTAGCCTGAACATTCATGTTGGCAGTGACGAAATACCTTGTAGGCTGAGTGCTTTCAATCAACATAGGAAACAAAGAATTAGTATAATTATTTCCTCTATTGATATATAAATAAAGGAGTCAGAGATGAAGTCAATGGTACTATAAACTGAGGAGCTGAAGTTGGAGTCAGAGTCAAAGGTTTTATGTACCAACACCACAGCCCTGCATTGCAGGGCTGAAGTAAATGACACACTACCTACAAAGTGCTCACTACTTCTGCTTTAATCCAAACAATAAATCAGATGCAAAGCAGAGGCAGCAAGCAGATGAAAGGTGGTATACTCACTTACTTCTAAAAGGCTCTAAGAATCCCTGGTTTAAAGAACCCGTGAGTTGCTTTTATGTGTCAGTCAGACCTCTGTATGACATTTTCGTATAAGGATGTACATGAGAGCAGGAAGCAACCTGTATACCATCACGCTTGAAGATGAGACATATGCCTATTTTACCGTACATACATGCATTGAGAAGCAATGATTACTTTCTGCACACTAGGAATGAAACAACATACATGTTTTGTTTCCTCTACGGTACATTTATTTTCCTTCACATGTAAATTAATGTAGGAAAAAATCTGGCCCTAAATTGTGGACAGCTGATATTTCTTTTTTGAAGAAGAATTAAGACATGTGACAGCACACTAATGGAAGGGAACCTCTTTTTTACAGCTAGTTTATCCTTCCCTATCAAACTACAGTCAAAATTACAAAGTCCATCCATAGCAAGAAACCTGACTCTGCAAAACATAATCTAGTTTAGAACTGGAACTACAGTTTCTTACCCATTTTTCCTCTGGAAAACCAAACTGGTAATCTTTTCCTAAAGATGGGGTAAAGTCCCACTGATACCCAAAGTTCTTACTTTAACTATGTTAATTACAGCTTAATAGCAACCCATATGCAAGCTCACAATTATTAAACTGTGACAATTTTTAAAAATTATCTAGAAGTTGGGAAAAGCAACAGATTTACCTATTTCAATTGAAAATCTGTCTAGTCATTCTTAGTTTCAGTAGCTTATAGTACTGTTGTAATTATGTGCATAGTTCAAAAACTACAAAACTAATTAATCTAGAACTGTACCAGTAAGTATCAATTAACAAAATCCAATTTCTTAATTACAAAAATGTCTTACTAGATCTGCTACTCTACACAAGGCATCTGAGAGCTCATCAAAGATCATTACTGTTTCCTTTCCAGGTGGTGTAGTACATGCTTTCTGTACTAGGAGTTCTGCTTCTTGGAGTGATTTTTCTTGAGCTTCTTGAAATCCTTCTGGACAATTCAGCTCCGCTACACCAAATAAACCCTAAAACACAGCAAACAGGACCAAAATAAATAACACCATATATTTTCTTTTTGTTATCTATTCTGCAACATGACAAAGTTCATTACGTACATGCCTTTTTGTACATTTACAAAATTTTCTAAAGAAACACATTCTTTAGGGCTGCAATCCTATACACATTTACCTGTGAGTAAGCCCCACTGAATTCAGACAGATATACATAAGAGCAGAAATATATAGGATTATAATGTTAGTGTTAAACATATACTGATCATGGCAATGTGAACAGAAAACATAGTAACATTAAGTATGAAACTCTTTCAAATCATTTTTATTAGTTTTTATCCTGTTAGTGTTGCAGCAATCTAATTTTATTCAATGTATGTTTATAAAATTGTATTTCCAGTGTCTAAAGCAAAATAGCTTTGTGTTTATAGCTGATTAAAAAGTAGGAAGTACAAATAGCACATCCTCTTTCAGGATAGTGCTTCTCCCTTCCTTAGGATCTTTCTTCCAAGCACATTTTGCAAACCAAAGCTTGCAAATCTCCTTGTACGTGGATTCCTGTTTTGGCTACATAATAGAGAGCTGAGTACACTATCAAATTGTTCTAAACCACCATCATTTAGATACATATTTTCCCAAAGAAACAGAGTTCTTCAATAGTCAGGGTACAATGTGATAATGTCCAGAAGCCTCTGTACTTCCAAGACTAGCATGCTGCCTCTGACCTCAGATCTGGGAATACAAAGCATCCTACAACCTCCTAAATGTTGCCTAGGGGCCATGGGATTTGGAATGTGGAGCCACTGTTTAGCTAGGGTTTCCACCTTTTTTGGAAGGAGGCATCCTCTGCATTTCTCCCATCTTGAACCAACTTTTCAGGGAAACCACAGGACTATACTAGAAGAAGCAAAAAGCACATATAAGGGGGAAATAGCCATGTTTGTGAACTGAAAAATAAGATTTCATGAAGGGATGCCAACTGAAAAATAAGATTTCATGAAAGGATGCAATACTGTGCTACACAGACACACCTATTCAGAAATAACACAGTTAACAGCACAACCAGAGATGCACAGCAATTCTGCAGGGACTCAAAACTTGGATCACACCAAGGGTTCTTCATGATACCACAGTATACCAGAATGGAATGCATGAATTTTCCTCATTGGGAAACATGCTGGTAAAGTGGAAGAAAATCATGGAGCAGCTGCAGGATCATGACAGCACTGTGTGGCCAGTTTTCCAAACACACACACACACACACACACACACACACACACACGAGCGGGGGGGGGGGGGCAAAGTGGCATTACATTAAATGCCTTGCCTGATCAAGCCCTGGGTAAAAATCATCTCATCCAAACTCAAGTGGAAAAATAAAATGTACTGATCACACATGTCAGGAAAGTCAGAGCTGAGAGGGAAGCTTTTGTACCACTTACAAGTAGATAATAAACTAATAATGACTGTGGAAAGTTTTCCATGGCAGAAAAACACAGTGATGCAACAGATGGATTTTTGCTTGTCATGGAATCTAGCAAATGTAAACAAAAGTGATAAACCTATCAACAATTATGGATTCTGCCATAGATGCCCTTGCCACAATCCCAGAAACTTAGGTGGCACTCAGTGAGGAGACCAAGATCATGCATAAGATAATAACCATAAGATAATATTCAGCAATTAAGTTGAATGATGGGTGATTCATCCCAGAGACAAGGGGGTACTTCTTCACACCACAAGCAGCCAAATTGTAGAATGCATTGCCACGAGATATGCATCTTCTGCACAGACATGTACAGGAGTGTACCTGAGCTCAGGGATGCGGAACAAGTAGCCCTCCAGAAGTTGTTGGACTGAAACTCCCATGATCCCTTACCATTGGCCACACTGGCTGAGGCTGACGGGAGTTGCAGTCCAGCAATACATGGACGACCACACGTTGCTTGCCTCTGCGCTCTGGGGCTCAAAACGAGCGCGGGCCTGAGCCCCACGAGCGCAGGGCAGCTCCGTCGGGGGCGAAGTCCGGCTGCCTCTCACCGTTTTCTTCCCCACCTCCCGGCTGTGCTGCTGCTGGGCATTGAAGGCGGCGCCCACGGGGGACCAGCTGGTGCTGACCCATCTCGGGCCGCCCAGCCGGCCCGGCCCCGCTCGCCTCAGGCCGCTCGCGGCGGCCCGCGCCACCCGCCGCCAGCCAGCCAGCATGGCGGAGACGCTGCGCTGCCGGCCTCCCGGGCGCGACCCCGACGAGAAGGCGCGCCTCGCCGCCGCACACGGCCGGCAGGCGCCCAGGTTCCGGCGACGGCCGCTGACGCGTCGCGCGCGAGGAGGGGCCTGGGCGGGCGGCCTTCTGCCCGCCTCTGCCGCCTGCGTTCGCTCCCGCCCGGGCTGGGCCGCCTCGCAGAGAGCCGGTTCGCCCGGCGCGGCGTGACGTGAGGCGGTTTTAGTGGCCCATCTTAGTGGCCCCCGTGTGGCGCCGGGGCTGAAGGCGCGTGTCAGAACTTCCTGTATCAGTGTATGCATTGGACTCTAACTCCCATCATTCTGAGCCAGCCTCACGAGTAATTAGCAGAATTTATTTATCAGCAGGGGCTCAATACCTCTTGCAAATCCTACAGCAGTTCTTTTAATGCAATAAGCTGCAATCCAATGCATGATTAGAAAAAAGTCACTCTGGCGGCTGGGGCACGTCGGGAGTTGTAGGACTTTTCTGTTTGAACATGCATCGGATCGTGGCGTAACTCACTATGGTGCCCCCTGTTGGTGTATCTCAGTAAAATAAAAAAGTAGATCCTACAAGCTTTCTGAGGAATATCCACTTGGGCCTTACAGAAAGTTTTCTGGTGTGTGTTTTTTTTTTAATCGTGGGGATGATTTAAATTGTGTTTCTCACATGTACTCTGCTGCTTCATTATATGCATGGGCAATGCATTATAAGCATTTGCTTTCAGGCAAGAATTGCTATGCACTCTGTTTTAATTAAAAGTAACAGTCTCACTGAGTCCAACAGGCATGTGTTCAAGGAAATATGAATCATGATGTGTTGCTTAGAGCTACTTTCTCCAGCCTACTTGCTTTCCAGATGTGCAAATTATGGGTGATTGGGAGTTGTAGACCAACATACCTGGAAGGCACCAGGTTGGAAAAGGTTGCATTATTTATTTATTTATTTATAACTTTCTATGCCATCTTTTTTCAAAAAAAATCTCAAGAATGCTGTAGAAAAATTAAACATTAGAACTTGGCAACTCTACTTAATTAAAAATATAATATGTGATTATATATATTGAAACTAACATTTTAAAAACTGGGTAAACAAACATGTTTTGACCTGGCACCAAAATGAATAAAAAGTCAGTGCCAAGTGAACCTCTCTGAGAAGTATATTCCACAATGCAAAAGAGTGTTGGATGTGGAGTAAGGAGAACCTGGTTCTTTCTCTACAAAGCTTGCAGGGTCTGGGCCATTTGCTGCCTCTTTTTAAATCCTTTATAGGATGTTAGGATAGGGAGACATATACGCAGACATTTAGGCAGAGCTTACCAGTGGGTTTTTTTTTTTTTAGCATTGTGTTTAGCATTATCTAATGGTTTATGTGTGGCTTGCTTCTGTTTAAGCATGCACACAGGATTTGGTTCTACGATTCTTCTGCTTGTGCCTTCAGTTATAGACATGAGCTATGCTTAAAGTATGCTTAGTGTTATCAGTTAAAATATCCTTATTCAGGTATTCAGGTTGTGTGGTTATCTTCATCAGATGACATTACATGAAGGATTCCATGAATTCAATGCCCTTTAAAGTTGGTCAGGTAAGCCCTAGTTTTTAATCTCTACAAATTCTTTCAAATTATATGCTGTTTAAATGTAGCTCTCCACTCAGGTTTTATCTATTTATTTTCATTTCTGAAACATGTCATTGACCTCATGAGAAAATACAAAGGGTTGAGAGAAACAACTGTTAGAGCAGAGTTCCTTATTCTAGCACCCTCCAGATGTTTTGGAGATGCTGTACAACTCCCAGCTTTCTGCAGTTGGTTGCACTGGCTGAGGCTGATGTGTATTAGAACCCAAAACATCTGGAAGACTTTCAACTGGGGATGGTCATATTAGAGTTCAGAAAAGATATCCTTAAGAAGTGGCTTTTCTTTCCCAGAAACTAAGCATTATTTGTATTACTTAGTTTGCTCAAAACATTTTTTTTCTTTTTATACACGCATGATATGTTCAAACTTGAAGGAGCGCTTGCATCCATATATGCCCAGCCGCCCCTTGAGATCGGCGGGGGAGGCCCTTCTCCGGGAACCCTCCGTGAAAGAAATTAGGAGGGTGGGTACTCGGAGGAGGGCTTTCTCTGCGGTGGCGCCTAAGTTATGGAACGCGCTCCCCAGAGAGGTCCGCCTGGCGCCGTTGTTATTTGTTTTTCGGTGCCAGGCGAAGACCTTTTTATTCAAACGGCATTTTAACTGTTAACATTATTGGTTTTATCTGGCCAGGGCGGCTTATTTTATACTGTACTGTTGTATTTTAATTTTATATTTATATTTTAATTTATATTATAATTATTTTAATTTATTGATGTGAGCCACCCCGAGGCTTCGGCGAATGGGGCGGCATAAAAATGTTTTAATAAATAAATAAATAAATAAATAAATAAATAAGTCATTACTGCTAAATAGATTAATCTTGTTTCACCTTTACTAATGTATTAAACTAGTGGATTGACATTGGAAAAAGTTACTGAACAATGTTAATGTCCTACAATTTTCAGCAACTTTAGACACTACAGCTATTAGATTGCTTTGGTTTATATTACTCCAAGTGCAGAAAAAGGCAACTAAAGTGATCAAGAGACTGAAGCAACTCCCCCATGGAATGGTTACAACATTTAGAACTGTTTGGCTTAGAAAAGAGGCAAGTAAGGAGAGACATGATAAAGATGTTCAGAATTAAGCATGATGTGGAGAAAGTGGAGATGGAGACATTATTCTCCCTGGCTCATAATACTAAAGTAAAGGTTTCCCTGCACATGCGTGCTAGTCATGTTCAACTCTGGAGCCAGTGCTCATCTCCATTTGTAAGCTGAAGAGCCAGCGTTGTCCGAAGATGCTTCCGTGGTCATGTGGTCAGCGTGACTAAATGCTGACGCACATGGAATGCTGTTACCTTTCCCACTGAAGTGGTACCTATTTATCTACTCACATCTGCATGCTTTCGAATTTCTAGGTAGGTAAGAGCTGGGACAAAGCGGCAGGCGCTCACCCCATTGTATGGATTTGAACTGCTGACCTTCTGATCAATAGCAGAGCAGCTCAACAGTCACTGCACTACCTGCATCTCCACTTGTAATACTAGAACCCGGGAAATTGAACACTGGGCTAGAAGAGTCTTGGTTTGATCCAGCACGGTTCTTCTTCTATTGTTATGTAATGTGATTCAGATAAAATTATGCCTTGTTGTTCTTCCTTAGCTACACCCAGCCAAGTACCTAAGGGCTGTTTCCTTGCTTATTGAGCAGTAAACAGGTAAAAGTAAGATTTTTTTAAATTACTTTTTCTCTTCACATATAATCTCACAATCCATTAAGAAGTGTCCTAACCTTCAGATAGGTTACAACACTATTTCATTGTATTTGCTTTGCTCTTGGTAGTTTTGTCATACAGTTAGTCTGAAATTGTCTTTGCTCTTACTAACATGACTGAAATCACATGCCCATTCCTTTTAAAGTCAGTCTCTACATTTTATATTGTACTCCAGACTCCGGGAGATGCTGGAGGACAGGAAGGCCTGGAGGAATCTTGTCCATGGGGTCACAATGGGTCGGACACGACTTCGCGACTAACAACAACAAAAAGCTATTCTGAGAAATGGTTAGGAACGTTAGCTTGCTCAGTTAAACAACCACCATTCAATTATCCCAGAGTAACATGTTGTATGTTGTAAGCCGCCCCGAGGCTTCGGCGAATGGGGCGGCATAAAAATGTTTTAATAAATAAATAAATAACATAAATTCCCGCTCTTGTGATTCTGAGGGTTACATAAGATCTCACAGGCAGAGTTTAATATAAAACACAACATATGTTAGCTGACCTTGATTTCAGATTTATTCCTGAAAAATTGCAAACCATGCAGGAATAACACAAAACCATGTGCAATTATTGTTTGTATCAAACAGTATGTGATTGGCCTTGTGAATACACCTGTGTGAGCTTTGTCTCCATACTAATTTTGATGTAAGAATTAAACTGTGACAAATGCAATAGACATCACATTGAAACACCAACAGTTCACATGATGGAGAATGGTGCAGAGGCTGCTTCCTCTGAGGTACTAAAGATGAGGAAGCCGGTGAAGACTGTGTCATCATCTGGGTCTGCAAAAAGCCCATTGAAATTCTCACTTCCATGGGTCTGCAACCATATCTGATCACCTTTCTGAAGCTGCAGGATGGTTCCTCCGGAGGCTTGGTCTTCAGCACCTTGGTACATGTCTGTCGTGTGGAGCACCGCGTCTCCATTTTTAATCAAAGTTACTCTGACATTCCTTGCAAAAACAGTGATGTGGTAAGTGAAATAATAGACACCAGCGATCTGGCAGGTGAATACCCCAGTGGCTGTGTTATAATGGTTTAAGCTGTTATACATCACTTTGTCAAATTTGATGGGCACATTTGAGGGGGGGAACTTTGTGTTAAGGCCTACACTGAAAGCACTTCTGGGGATAACTGGAGTATCCCCAAGGTTTCCCTTTTCTCCTCTGTCCCCCTTCCACCCTCTCTCTCCCTGCATTCCTTTATTGCCCTTTGGCCCTGGGTTTCCTATCCCTCCTTTTGGACCCACCGGACCCAATGGTCCAATGGGACCTCTTAAACCAGTTTCACCTTGGACTCCAATTTCACCTTTAATTCCTTTAGGGCCAATCGGGCCAAGATCACCTTTTATCCCCTTTCGACCCTGTGGCCCTAACTCACCCTTCTGACCTTTGTCACCTACAGGTCCAGATATCCCCTTAGGTCCAAATTTCCCAGGCCAGCCTCTCTCTCCTTTATCTCCTTTGCTCCCTTTCTCTTCAACTCTGCCATCAGCTCCTAAATGGAGAAGAGGGAAAAACAAATATTATTTTTATTTGCTTGATTATCTAATAGCCTAACCAATGATGGCAGGGACCAAAGGATACCAGAGGGTGGCCCACCCTCCTTGGAATGTGGCTCCATCCAGGGCTGACATATGCAACCTGCTTGCCTAGAGCCAATTTACCTCTCAGGTCAAAAGAGTTTCCTCACCGCTAATCTAGCAGCTGATTATTGGAAGTGTAGGTACAAGGTAACAGAAGGGGCTTGCTTTTTTATTAGCTAACACAGTGCTAGCAGCAGATGAGTTGGAGACAGTTTGGGATGTTTTTGGAAACTCAAGGAAAAGTGGGGAAGAAGCTACTTGACAAATGCAATTTACCTGCCAGGTGGAGAAAGAATGAAATAAAGGGCTATGGTTCCCAAGACAGCATATAGGAAATGGGAGGATTTCAAGCTATGTTTTGCTCACAATCTGTTCAGTGCAACATCTAAGTGTTAGTGAGAGCTGCTCAACCCTGGAGCAATGGTACTATCTAATTCATCAACTGGCTGCAAAGTAAAAGTCCCCCCCGCCCAAAGGGGCACAATTCTGTACTGAAAAACATGCCTGATGAGGGCCTTTAATTTTTTGTGCAATCCCTGCTATGCCAGCAGATCCTCCTCCTGCTGAAAACACAGCAAGTAGTAGTTGTGTAACCCATTGATTAGTGGTAGATACTGATTAGTTCATGGGTATGTGACTTTAGACTTGTGTGATCTACTCTCCCTTTTCTTTAAAAATTGAAATTCCTATGGAACACAGATGTATTTAATGCTCATAAAAAATAAAAACTGATTTTCTCCATAGTAATGCCCATGCATGGCATGGCAATGAAAAAACATGGGACCCAGTCATTATGCTGCTGTGAACTGCCCATATGCTGCAGTGAGCCACCCAGAAAGCTCTGACTGTCGGGTGGTACAGAAATTAATTAATTAGTTAATTACCACCATAGAATCTCCGCATATTTTCAGATAAATCATATTTTACTCTTACCTGGTTCTCCCTTATCTCCTCTTCTGCCATCTGTGCCTGATTTTCCTGGATGCCCCGGTTCACCTGGCAGTAGCAAAAACAATATCCATTCCATTATTCATTTTATAATCAAAGAGATGGTGCTTAAATACTTCATACTTGTATTTCAAATCTGGCCCTTGCATCTTGTAAGAACTCAGAATTCTGTTTCATCTGGAAGAACTAGAAAACACAAAACCCCCAAGTTCCACACTGGAAGCACTTCAATCAAAGGGTACAGGACAGGCTTCTGCAACCCAATGCCCTTCAGATGTTTTGGACTCCAACGCCAGTCAGCTCCAGTTAGCACAGCCAACATTCAGGAATCTTGGGATTTGTAGTCCAAAACATCTGGAGGGCATCAGGTTGGGTAAGGTTGGTGTGGATGAATGGATTGCGTAACGGTAGGTTTCTAGATGTGTGAGTACTCTGGACCACTGAGCAGATAAGTAAGAAAAAATAATGAAAACATTTGCACACTTTTGCGACAATAATAATAGTAATCATAATAATAATGGTGGTGGTGGTGGTGGTGGTGGTGAACTAGTGACAGCCACTCCAACATGCTGCTTGGGCACTTTGGAGGAGCTGTCAATTGGTTGGAACATCAAAACTGATCTCCCAGGTATTAAAAGGGAAAGGAAATCATGGAAAATGTGAAAGAGGTCAAGACTAGAGTGGGGGAATGTAAGCCAGGGAAGGTCCCTCCAAAATGCCACTGGGACATTTAGTGACATTGTTGTCACTGGTGGGTCCCGAGACCTTGTCAAGAGTGGCAAGGATTCATTGCTGTCCTTACGAAATGCACAGGGGTCTGTTGCCCAGGTTTGGATGATGGGACAATCCATCACAGGTACAACAACACCTATAACAAGCAAAGCCATGGGATATCAGAATGGAGGGTTGCCCTCAAACAGACCATCCTGCAAGAAGTGGTCCAGGCTTCCATGATATAACAACCCCCTGTGGCTAGTTGCTCGCAGTAGATTGCTGTAACATGAAGTAAACCAAATCATGGTTTTTGAAATCCACAGTATTGCATTCAGTCGCTAGGCGGCAGCTTTCCCTATGTACCATATAGCTTTGTAAAATGACACAGCCTGAAGAGTGTGTGTGTGTATGTGCACGTGTAGGTGCGTGCGTGCATGCAGGAGGATGCTCTCAAAGGGAAATATGGCTGCTTCTTTCCATCTGATACCTCCTTTCAATGAAGTGGGCAGAGGATGCACCATGGCAGCAGCCATGTCTAAAGGCCCCAGTTGGCATGTGTTCATTCCGACAGGGCAGGCACAGTGTACCCAGCTCTGACAGTGGCAAAACTTCACTTGAAGACTTCACCATACCATATAAGGGCTATTGCAAACTGTGCAAAGCCGGTTCCATTCAGCAATATGCTCACAGGGCAAGTGTGCATACTCAGCTTCTCTTAAGAGCTAACCTAGGCAAAATGATCCCAGCTATGCACATTTGCTTAAGGATATGTGAATTTTAAAATGCTTTGGGTCAGATCAAGTTCTACCAGTCCAGCAACTTTAGCTCCAGAGCTGAACATTTATCCTTATGGGATGAGCATCTCCGGAACTACTGCTGTAGACATAAAATAGAAATGTTACACAATTTGATACCTGTGTCTCCTTTTTCTCCCTTTGTACCATCTCGTCCATCCCGTCCTGGTAAGCCATTATGCCCAGGGTTCCCAGGAATGCCAGGAAACCGATCAATGCAGCTGTCCTGTCTTTGTATTTCTTCCATACTGACTCCAATGGCCAGCAGAAGAATCCAGAGTTTCATCCTATCTAATTTCAGCTGAAAAAATCAAAACATTTTTTTTAAAAATATCCAGCAACATGCATTCTTAGCAAAATAAGCATTGCAGATGTCATTTGGTGTCACCGTTATTTTAAATATGCTGAGAGTACAGGGCAATGCTCAGGCAAGTAGAGCGTGCCAACATATACTGAGAATCTGGCATAAGATTGCATGGTACCACTATTAAGTTCCATCAGACCAAAGAGCCGTCTTATCCAGGGTTCTGCGCACACAGCTGCCCTCGGGGAACACCCAGGGAGGAGATGGGTACAGCAGCAACCTTCTGCCACTGCTGCACAAAGGCACCCTGCCCCTGATATTGGAGGTAGCAAACATCCATCCAAACTAGTAGCTATGGATAGTTTTCTCCATCGATTTGTCAGATCCCCTTTTAAAGCTCTCCAAAGTGCAAAGAAGTACCTCCTGTTACCTGTCCTGAATCAGCTTCATGGGATGGCCCCAGGTTTTAGTATTAGGAAAGAGGGATAAAACGGTTGCCCTAGCCACTTTCTGTACCCTCCTGAGACGTCTTCCCTTACTCATTTTTTCCTAAGCTAAACCATGACTTTCCTCCTAGGGAACTTGCTTCAGCCTCTTGATCACTTTAGTTGCCCTTTTCTGCAATTTCCATAGCTCTACAATATCCTATATTAGACACGTTGACCAGAACTGTACACAATATTCTAAACATGGTTGTGCCATAGCTTTGGATAAGCCGGGCAGTATGAGTTTAACTGTCCTATTTTCAATCCCATTTCAATCCCATTCCTAACTTGCCATTTACCCTTTTCACAGCAGCCACACACTGGCTTGGCATTTTCATGTGGCTGTCCACCAGAACATCAGCATCTTTTTCCTGGCCAGTCGCCACAGGATTAGATCCCTTCAACCTATGCATGAAATTGAGCTTTTTTTTTTTCACCCCGTTATGCCTCATTTTACTGACACTGAACGGTGTTTGCCATTTGGATGACCACTTCCCTAGTCTGGGGAGACTATTTTGGCACTCCCCATACAATCCAGTGCAGAGCAGTGTTGGAAAGGGACTGGGTAGAGCTGGGTTCAAGGACCCACTCAATCATGACTGACTCCTAGTCTAACTTACCTCACAGGGTCATTGTGAGGATGCAATGGAGAGGGAGAGGGAGAGAAAGATGCATGCTGCCTTGAGCTTCTTGGAGCCACAAGCAAGATGTTACTGGGATAAATAATTAAATAATAGTGACAGCTATTCCCATGGTATCTTAAGTGTAAAAAGTTATTCTGTTAATGGAGAAAATTTAGTACAGCTTTCCCCAACCTGGGCCCTCTCAGATGCTGATGTGTTACAGTACATCAGACATTCCGGCCAGCATGTCAGACTATTTTACCTGGGAATGATGGGAGTTGATCTGGCAGGTATCCGGTTGGGGAGGCCAGTGATACTCTGAAGGCGCCTAATTCCAAGAGGGCTTTGAAATTATGCGAAAGGCCACATACCTCTAATCTAGAGGTTGCCTGCAGTGTTTTAATGATGATATATGCACATGCTCATCTCTTAAACTAACTTAAAATTTCCAGGGCACAGTAACTGGCTGGCTCATTGACTATTTAAAACAATCTGATCAAAACAAATATTCTGAAAAAAGAACTGAAACACAGAGACGGCTAAATAGAATTCTACAGCAATGGGTGGAGGGACACACACACACACACACACACACAGAAATATAAGACAGTCTAAAAGCTTGACAAATCAGAAAAGCCATTACCAGATGCTGAAAACCCAACAAGGAGGAAACAACTGGGATTTCCATGGCAGAGAGTTGCATAATCTGGACACCAGCAACAGAAATGCCCCGTCCTGCATTCCAGCTCACCAAACATCTAATGACAGGGGTCTGTGGAGAGTAAGGCCTCTGATAAAGAGTCTGGTGGGTGGAAGAAGAAGGTGCTCCATTTTGGTCTTAAACCATTCAGCCTGCTCACATAGCGTGGGCATTACATCCATTTGTCATTGTCTTTTAATCTGCACACCATTTCCTTTTAGTTTTCCTGCTGAGCACAGAATAGGATCACTCTACTGGGGCAATTGCTTTTTACAGGAGTGTGAAGTTTTAGTCATAGTTTCTGTTTGTTACATTTGTATCCAGTCTTTGCTCTAAGGATCTTATTGGTACATACAAGAACCTCTTCTCCATGTTATCCCCACAGCAGCCCAATGAAGCAGGTTACATGGAGAGGCAGTGACTGCCCATAAATCAGCCAGTGAGCGTCTTGGCAGTGTGGGGACTGGAATCTGGGTCCCCTGAGCCCCAGTGCAATACCCTAACTGCTAGACCACACTGTCTTTCAGAGCAGGGGTCAGGATTGAAGCCATTGTTATTCAGTCGATGGAGAAAGTTGTCTTGACAGAGAAAACCAATCCCCCTGCTTTCTTGTTATTAGTCAGTCTAATTCCAGGTTATGGAATGTGCTCCCTGGAGAGGTGCGCCTGGTGCCGAGTATATTCTTTTCAGCACCAGGTTAAAACCTTTTTATTTAATGGCTATTTTAAAAATCAATTTTATCATTAACAGTCGCTTTTTCATTTTTTGTTTTTATTTTTATATAATTTTACTGTTACTGTTTTATTGTTTTAATTCTATGATGTAGGCTGTCCCGAGATACCATGAGGGGACGGCATATAAAAGTTTTAAATAAATAAATCATTATTATTGACATTAATATTATTAAATAGTCACTTGCATATAGTTTCTTAGCCATTGCAGTGTTCGTTTTGCACTTTGTAGGAGTCATCTTTGGTGCTGAATTTCACCCCTGAAATAGATTCACCATCATGGAGCAGCAGGGAAAGCTCTGATAAAGCTCAAAATAAGAGCTGCAGTAGATAAGGAGCCCCACTGACCTAGGAGTCGCTATCCTCCGCTAGGGATAAGGCAGTCCCATGTTGCTCTGTGTTCTTCACACATGACAGATTTTCAAAAAGGAGTTTATACACTTGTTCCCTGTAGATTCCCTTGCCTAGTTCCAGATACAGTTTGCACTGAAGTCTTACCTTTTCCACAACTGCCTGGGCATCTTGCGCATATACGCAGAGATCATAGGTGAAGGCAAAATGAGGGCAGCTGTTGGGTTGGTTACTAAGTTCCAAACACTGTTATTCAGTCTGCAGGCACATTCAATGATTAATACAGAGGTTAACTGCAAGATGTTGGAGTGGAATGATCCTAGCACTTAAATATTAAACAGTGTATGATGCTTTGTCTGTTTTCTATTCTAACCCCCAAAGTTCCTTGTTATTGATGGCACAACATTGCACCCTGATGCACCCACCAACAGGGCACAGTCATCCCAAGCTGCTCAACAGGGGCTGAAAAGTACTACTGTCGGGTGGCCCTGTATCCTGCTTTCCAGAGGCAGTCCTTTGTTGCGAGGCTTCCTCTAGCAGAAGAGCTGACTGGTTTAAGGGTCTCTTTAAGAAAGGAACCCTAAGAAAGAGGGTGGCAGTGGCCTTGAATTGTTCATTGGCTCCTGGACAGAGGCCAAGCAGGCAGACAGGTCACCTCATTGCAGCCATCTGTGCATATAATTAGCATATACAGATGTTCAGCCAATCTGTGCCTTTTTGGGGTGATACATAAGCAGTCATCCAAGCTGTTCCCCTTCAGCAGTAGTGTGGGTCCTTGAGCTTCTTTGTGCATACCTGTGTGCTGTGGTGTAGTGGCAAATTTAGAAGTGGAGGAATCCCTTCATGATGGTCAGAGCCACACCTCAAAGTCCCAGCCATCAAAGCCCTGCTCCCAAGACATACTTGTTTCTGAGATTATGCAACCTATGTTCATACAATAAAGATGAGCTTTGTCACTTGTTTGAATTTTTGTTGAATAATGAATGCAAGGAAGGTGGAGGACAGGAGATTCTGGAGGAATGTTGTCCATGGGATCGTGATGAGTCAGGCACAACTAACAACAACAATGACTGCAAGATAAATGTATCTCTTTTTGAGATTAGTCAATAACAGCTTCTAGAAGTTATTTCTTATTATTTATTATGGAGGAATTATTTTTCGAAGAGAATCCTTCAGTTGTCACTTGGAAATATGAGCGTTCTGGAGTTAGTTGCTCAGTGGCTGAATGTCTGAGGAAGGGCCAAAATCTGACCTTTGCAAAAGAGGACGGGGGAAAAGAGAAGATGGAGGCAATCTTTTACTCCACCTGAATCTCCTCCAGGATAATGTGGTACCTTTTCCAGGAAGCAGGGGGCTTCATTAATAAATAATCCCTTTCCCAAATTAGCAGCTTGATAGTTTCAGGGGTTGAGAACCACAAAAACATGAACTAGTCTCCAACTATTTTATTGCCATCTTGTGGCCATTCTAAATATTACAAATACTGTTCTCACAGCATAAACAAACTATGGAAGTCGCTATCACAAGATGTAGGGCTTCTCCACACGAGGCATTATTGTCCCCTTTCGGAGTCTCTCCAATATTTTTCAGACTTTTCGTTTGGTTATTGCTGTGAGGAAAGTCTGGTACTGAATTTTAAATTGCAACTACAGGAACGAAGCCTTATGTATTGTTGGATATGGCAGCAGTACCATAGCGCCACCTCGTGCTTGGTTTATAGAATACAGAGAAGCAAAGAAATAAACACTTTAGGGGAAAAAAGCTGTGTAAGGCTTGCGACACAAATGGACGACTCCTCCTCAGTAAAGAGCTGGGATAAATTCACATAGAGAAGCTGGTAGTGATGGGCACCAATTTAGATGGTTTCAAAAGGAGGTTAGAGAAATTCATTGAAGGTAAGCTTATATCAATAGATACCAGTCTTGTATTGTAGTATTGTAGATACTACAATATCCATGCAAATGAGTTTATAATTTCAGGCACTGGAGGCAAGGTGATGCTTTGCATCAGTTGCTGGGTAAGAAGGTTGGGAAGGTGCCGTTGGTCTCAGATCCCACTTATTGGTTCCCAAGGGTGGCTGGTTGGCCATTGCTGAACAGAATGCTCTGCATCCTTGAGATGCATCCTTGGTGTGATCCAACACACCACCTTTTATGTTCTTAAAACTAGTATTTTCTTAAAACGAGTAAAACTAGCAAGGCCAACCCAAAAGTAATCAAACAGTGTGGAAGCATTTGATTTTTCTAGAATTCTTCATCAGAGAAGATGGTAATCAACAAAGCCCCTGCACACACCCCCAAAAAGTGGGGGTGGGAATTGGTTGATGCTGAAGCTGTTTAGGAAAATAGGAGTCTGCGCCATTGGCCCATTTAGCCCTGTATTGTCAACACTGACTGGCAGCAGCTCTCCAGGGGGCAGCAGGTTTTCCTTGCCCTACTTGGAAATTGAACCTGGGGTGCTCTGCTATTGGGCTAGTCAGTCTTAAGACAGAAGGAGCTTGCGGACATTTGAATTAGGGGCTTTGATGGTTTCAGGCTGCTGGGATGAAGAAACAAACGTTGGTTAATCTTCCATTTTTGAAAAACAGAATCTAGTTCCTGTTTGGACCCCTCACAACTTTTGCAAAACTCCCTTTGGGCTGGTTTTGTGCAGTATTTTTTGCACGAAATTGTTCTCTTCCTGGTCTTTTTATCAGTCAGGTGTGCCAAATGAGATTATACACTAGCTACATCTGTTAAATTTGCATGCATGCGCATGGACACACAGAAGAACCTCAACTTCTGCTGGTTCAGCTGCTAGGTTTTGACTTAACCTCAGCTGACCTCAGTCTGAAACAGAAGCTGTAAAGTGCTTCCTTTAAGTGAAAATACATGGTTTAATGGGGAAAGGAAAAAAAAAAAAAAACCCCAACAACAGTATGCAGAGATTGCTAGGATGTATGGTAAGAACGAATCTTCTGTGAAATTGTGAAAAAAGAAATGTGTATGTACAGTACACAGTGTTTGCTACTATTTGTGGTTTCAGGCATTGCTCAGGGGCTTGGAACCTACCTTGAGAGGACATGGGGGGCTTGCTGTACACACACACACACACCCCCCCCTCTTGGTGGGCCCTGATCTGGCTTAGATCGCCAGCAGAGGAAGGGAAGTTTCACCCTTTAACATCAATTTTGCAGATGAAACCTCCTCGCTCACATCCGAACTGTTATTTTTTGCCAGGAAGCAAGCCAGTACAGGTACAAGCAGTAGCTTCCTTCTGCAGTCTACAAGAGTTTTGTGGCTTTTGTTGGAAAATGACACATACTGTCATTTAATCCGTACTGTAGACCTGGATTAAAGTGGCTGCAGATTTTGCCACAAAATTAAGATATAACTACGATAATGTATTTAGTATGTCTTCTAGTTTTTTTCTGTAGAGTTCCCTAGTTTGGCATTTCCAATTTGCTACTTCTTTTCTCTGAAAACCATGTCTCAAGCCCAAGCCCAGTTCCTTCTGAGTATATTTTGATGAGCTAGTGTGTGAAGACAAAAGTCACCTTATTCTCAGAGCATGAAAATAGCTCACCATTCCATCTCTTTTAATGTGGTGTCAGAAAACAGACATCAGCTGGAACACACACACACACACACACAGACTTTTCTGTTGTCGGATATTCACCTCCAATTAGTTAAAGCTCATGTATAGGATTTCATACACAAACCTTAAAACTGTACAGTGAAATTATGTAAGACGTACCTCAGAAGTGTTCATTTCTCCATCTTAAAACATAAATTAGAGCAAGATAAAAGGAACATACATTTATATTTCATGTTTGCAGAAAATAGTTTTTATATAGATATAAAAAGCACATCGAATGCAAATAAAGCTGGCAACAGTCACTTCACAGCAAATAGATGTGATAGTAAAAGGAATCCTATACATCAAATTTCAGCTGTCAATAACCAGGTCATTTTTTTCTGAAGCCATGACCCCTAGCTTGCAACATACACAGCAGTACACAGGTGTTAAGATGCTCAAAGCATATACAGAAAAAAAGATGTTACAGAACACTGGTCAAAATAAAATATACCGGCAAGTTAAACAAGTAGCCCTAACATATACCAATAATGTTAAATTACAGCATCATTCCAAAGACATATCCCATACACACTGAAAAAGGCAAATTGACAAAAAATATACCATTTTAATATGGCTGAAGTCCTTTGGCTCAAAATCCAAGCTAAATTTTTAAATAAAAATCATAATGCCCCACACAATGAAATGTGAAATATTTCAGTTATTAAGCTCCTTCACTTTAATATTGAAATGTAAGCCACTATTAAAACTCACTTATTTGCACAAGGATTATACTAGTAGCAAGCCATAGAAGCCATGGTTCTAGCTTATCCCAAGAAACAAGTGTGCTTTTTGAGGGAACCATTTAAAAAAGGGGTGTCTCTTGTTAAGCTGAGCTTGAGTGACTTGAGGCACCAGTTGTGGTCAGTTATCATAATACAGTTCTCAATACTGAGTTGCCAGATGTTGCTGGATTACAATTTGTCACCTATAGCCAGCATGGCCATTGATCATGAACAGAAGCTGCTGATGAACATCTGGGGACCCAAGCTTCAAATCACTGCATATAATAAAACAGTGCACAGGTTTCTGTGGAAATTAAGAGTTCAATTCTTACTTCCGTTTTGGCAGCAGGGATGGTAGTGATATACAAATTTAAAGCAAACTAGATTATTAAAAATGACATGAACATGATGAGAACCTAATCAAGGCAAGCTTATGGTGAGCTGCAAACACAATTTTCTTAAATGTATAGCGGATTTTCACAAGGTCCTGGGCCAGGATGTAAAGAACCGTCCAATTAATTCTGCATATCCAAAGTAGGGCTGGTTTTGTATTTTTTAAACAGCAGCCAACCATGGTGCAATTGTCAAACAAATCTGAAAGCAAGGAGAGTTGCAAAAACCAGTTTGTAATACTTCTCAGTGCAGAGGGAAAGACACCCCCCAACCCCTTTAACTAGTTTGAAGTAGCTCTTTGGCTCCCAGCCAGCAATACTATATTGCTTTTCCTGGGTAATGCCACTTTGGTTGAAAGTATTACATGTATACCAACAGACTTTAAAGAGTCTAAACCCAGTCTATTTTTCCGGCCTTCAGATCTTCCAAAGTCCAAACATGTCTAAGCATTGTGATTTACTACAGTAGCTAGCTCCAACATCTGAAAAACCATTTACAAGTGCCAATTTCTTCATACAAAGCAGAACTAGGTTTCAAGAAGTAATGGTGAAGATAATTAGCTAAATCACTTGGACTTGCAGAGTACTGTACATAACATTGTTCCTGAGTAAGCTAAATAATGATTTCCCTCTCTTTGCAATATGAGAGTTTCCTGAAGTAATGTCAGTGCATCTACAGGCAAAGTCCAAAGTGTTCTTTGCTCCTTTCCAGTGCTAAAATTGCAGCATTTCCTGGAAGGGAAAGACACTGGGGGCAAAGGCCCAAAGTTACCTAGGACTATCCTTGGTTTCCACAGGGTACTGTACTTCTGAAGGGGCGGAGGGAGGGGGGGAAAGAGAGCTGGGAGTAGGACCAATGTTTCTCCTGTTGCCACAGGTTGCCTACTCTCATCAGGGCACATTCAGCAAGCATCTTTATGAGAACAGAACAAAGAAATGGTGGGAGCCATTCTGCATCCTACACTCTATGAAGGGCTGCTCAATTTAACACCATCCAATTAATTACCGAGTTGTACAAACTCTATCCACGGTATGGGCACTTGGACTGAGACAGACACTGCTATGGACCAGTTCAGTCTTGAAGCTTCTCAGGTTTTAGCAACTGTATAACAGGGGAAAAATCCAGAATCAAAGTGGCATCACAAAGAAAAAAGTATCAACCTGTTTTAAAGCACTTTTTAAACAACTGAATATTTGCTGCAAGTAAAATGCCAGTCTATAATTCCACTTTTCCAGTTCTCAGTGATATCATTTACAAAAGTTAATATTGAAAGGCAAGCAGTGACGCTCATAGCATGCTGGACAAAGCAGCCAAGCATCAAGGGTTTTTACAGACATTGCTGAGCTATGTACAGAAGGCATATCTAGCATGCCTGTCCTTAAAAGCTATCACTTCAGTTTTAAAAGATCACTTTTACTATAGGAAAATGCAGTACAAGAACTTAATTTCAACATCCTTCCTCAGTGAATAAATCTATCAGTACGTCAGCATTTGTGTCTTATCAGATAATAAGGCTTTTATTGTCTATTACAGACGCTGCCAATCAAGTTAACAATCTTTAAAACCATCTACAGGGATATCAGCCTTCCTCAGCCTTTGTTTGAACTAAGACCTCCACCATCCCCAGTCATGCTGGGAGATGTATAATGTGACACAGGGCACTTGGCTGAGGAGGGTTGACATATGCTATGACACTATATGGCTAAGCTTTGGACCACTTAAGTCTCAGTTCAACATAAAACAAGATTCTGTCATCTGTGTGCATGTGGGTGGGGTGGGGAGACACAGAAATAGAAATTCAGAATCAAGTCCAAATGAATTCAAAGTTATTAACTTTCCAAGTAAAAGTACATAGCAGTGCAGCCAAATATGTCTTTTACATTTCACATTGTGATCAAGAAGCCTGGCTGCTGCCCATTGTCTTTCATGTAGTTTAAGAGATTTACTTGCAAAAAAACTAGTTTTCAGTCAAACAAATTTCTGAATCTACTTTCTGCTATCCAAAAACATCCCTGATTATATTCTGCCAACTGGAAACCATATTTGAAATAGAGCCCGTTTTCCACTTCATCCTTTAGATAACATATATTTAATATAAGTATTATATTACCACTTGGACGTGGGTGGGTATGGGAATAATATGTGCCATGTGACAGTTTCCTTAAGGTCAAATACTTAGTAAAAACTATGCTAAAACAAATTTCACAGAACAGAACAAGGCAAATCAAAACAAGATACAATTTTAATGTTCCATAAACAGGCCACAGTTGACCTGAATTTTAATTGAAGTTTATTTCTGATGCCATTGCTGGTCCCTGTACAGGATCCTCTTGACATCACTGCAAAGAAATGATCACTAAGGAAGTCTCTCACGTCACTGATGTATGCAATAATAACCAAATGCCTGGAGACCTTTTCTGGGGTAACACAAACTGGATGGAATCGGTATTTTTACAAGATGTAGTGACAAAACCCCTTTTGAGTTAACAGTCTCTTAGATTCTTATTCTTCGTACAGTCACATTAATGCCATTAAAAACAGAGAACACTTCAGCTGTTCATAGTGTAAAAAGTATGGATACTGGAAATTACGGAAGCAATTTTCACAAGCTGAAACATTGTTGGTACCCACATAAAATGAAATCACTTTCTTGAAATGCATATAAAGCATGCGGCCAAGTACTGTTTTTGTAAGAATCAACTCATGATGCATTGGGTCCTTCCTTCATTATATGCAACAACATGGGAAAATCTATGTTCATGTCACCAAGGTAACATTTTCTTCCATTTTGCTAGGAAGACGCTAAGGCTTTTCAGGAAGTCCTATTCCCACTTAGTTAAATTAACAGAAAAAGTGTACTCAAACAAATAGAAAGGACTGAAGTTCAGCAGTTCTTGCAGAAATGTGAGTCTGTTCCCATGAGACATTTACCTGTCTGACACCTCTTTTCCCAACACACTATGTTGGGGTGGGGGAGGAAATGCTTTCCTTCCTATTTCTAAATTTGGCCATCAATTCATTATTAAGACAAGCAAAATGACCCAGAGATTTTAACCATTCCTTTGGTACAAGTACAACATAAACAGGATGCCACTGTCTAGGATAGCAGCAATTTCTGCTTGTGACTGAATGACAGGTTCCTTATCAGGAATGTTTATTGACACTGGGCAACATTTGCTTCAGATGGCAGCCTTCTTTGCTCAACCGCCTGTACTTCATTCTTCTCCATGAAGGCTGTGGTGGAAGGTTAGAAGGAGCCCAACTCCTTCCCTCCAGAACAGAATTCAGGGTTTTCAGCTGGACCAACAAATTCTTTGCTGGCAATTTGCCCTCCTTTATTCATCCTTCTAGTCCAGGGACCTCCAGGCATTTATTTCTTGAATGGTGTCAGTTTGTTAAAAGTGTGCCAGAAAAGTGATGGCTTCCGTTTTGGTTCTGCTAAAGCAAAGACCTGCTGTTGTGGAATGCTTGTGGGCACAGTTATGTGACGCTGATGGATAGGATGTAAACCCTGATGTGGTGGCACTGGGCGCCCACTGTAGCCAACACCTGGGAAAGAAAGCATTGAGAACAAATGTGAAATGAAAGTGTAAGTACAAATACTGAAATTGTGTAAAGGGCCAGTTTGCACAAGACATCTTGCTCTATGCCCAAGCTATCCTAAAGGTCCATAGCGATGCACTCATACAGATAAATGTCACATGTGAATTACCATAGTGATAGCCAGGAGCAGTATCTGCAATTGCTTTGCCATTCCAACCACTGAGCATATGGAAATGTCTGTTAGCTGCAGCTGTCATTGCCTGGTCTGTGTGTTACCACCTTTTCCCATGGCACCCAATGACAGCCAGGTTTCCTCCTATGAAGGGTAAAATACCTCATGCGAACTAGTTTTCAGTCATGCAGGGGGAAAAGATTATTTACATATTAACCTTTAATCTTTCCATGTCTTGACTTCCGTGCACTTTGCATGGCTTGCTTTTTTTGGTTTTCTGAGATCTCCATTCCTATATTTGGGGGTAAATAATCTGTAATTAAATGGTGTTCCAAATATTTTATTGCAATAAATTTTAAAGTAATAACTAGTGAAAATATTATGCAAATGCATTTGGTTTAATGGCACAATCCAAAGGGAGGGGAACTACAGCTTAGTAACAGAGGAGATACCCCATCGAAGTGGCAGAGCACACAGGGTCTACCTATGCTTTGTGTAAACACAGCCCCAGATTCAGTTTTCTGGGGGGACTGAGAAAGACCGCTGTGAAAGCCTAGGGGGCAGTTGCCAATCAGTATGAATGACGGATAAGCAACATGAAACCTCCTTGTTGTTTTCACAGGAGATCCTGCCCCTCCAGATTTGCTGCTGTGTCAATGGCAGCAAAAAAGTGGCAGCAAAAAAGTTACCTAATCCACTTCTGGCTCTGGCTCAGCCCCACTCCCGGCTTGAGCCCCTCCCACTACTGGCAGGCAGCTGCCGAGAGCTTATTCCTGAAGGAACATGACCCTGGTTCCCTACTTCTGAATGGTGGTGAAATACTTGCTCAAACAATTAAAGCCATCTATGTGGTTCTACTAAATAGGCAAATAAGTTTTAAAAGTCATGAAATCCACCAAGAACAAAAGGAAAAAGAAATAGATACCAGCTTTGCTCTACTACTTTCATTTAGTAGACAATGATACTTACCCATTTCTTTGTCTTCTTGCACTCGTCTCCTCTCATTTGCACAAGCCTCCAGCCACCTTTTCTTATCACCTGCCTTTTTACAAAAAAATAAATGAACGTCTTCTGTGGCATGATTTACAATTTTGAAAGCATTTTTTACATTGATATTGAAGTCCTTGTCTCTGCCATCTTCAATGTCCAGAACCTCCACCTCGTCCATATCCAACCGGCCCTTGTAGTATAGTATGTCCCTTCTCAATAGATCTTTCTTACAGAACACAAGTTGGTGGTCAAAGAGAAAGTAAGTCCTTTGCTGGCTCTTGCCTTGCTTGGAGATTCTGGTCAGTTCTCCTGAGTGGATCAATTCTGAGCTTCTACCTAAGACATCTTGCCCCTGAAATATTTCCATGAAAAAGAAAGACTCAGGATTATTTTCTTGTATGAGTACCATTAGCTTAATTAGCAGTATGAGTAACTTACATGGAGATCTTAGGCTTGTGGGTGTCTCATTGGCCTGAGCCAATGTAGTTCACACTACAAATCAGAATTAAGTATGCTTATGAAGTTCATGGAAATCTGGGTTTAAGCAAACTTAACTCTCTGCTGGAGTGTAGATTTAAGCCCTATTCAGTTGCTGTCCTCCAACTCCCACCTTGGCACACAATTACCTTTGCACAAGGGAGCAGGGACAAGCCTGTTGGCCTCACTTCCAGCAGTTGCTACACAATTTTAAATCACTTGGAAAATTTACAAGAGTAGAAACAGCTCCCCACTTCAGACATTCAGACCTTGACACATGGGGACCGCAGAGCAGGGACACATAGGAAGCAGAAATGCCAGCAGGCTTGTTCCCCTCTGTTTTTATAGTAGCCATGTGTGTGTGAAGAACAAGTTTTCCCTTCTCTGTTTCAACTATGTGATTAAGTGATCACTCTGTTGCTAAGAGAATAACTTAAAAAGAATTTAAACATACATCATGGAGCAGAGTCTTTCTAGTAGTTGCCCCGGTATTCTTAAATTGTTCTCCCCTCTAGAGACTGGCTTGGCCCCATCGCTTGCCTCCTTTTGGAGGCAGGGGAAAAGAACACTTCTGTTCTATCAGGCTTTTGGGGACTCTGCTAGTATGACTTGTCTTTTATGCCATAAACCTGCTTGTGAACAAACATTATTTACAGCACTTAACATTCTCTAATTAGTTTTTAGAGAAACTAATTTCTCTAAAATGAATCAACAAGATGGCAATCAACAAGGATTATCTCGATTCACATGCAATTTGCTGTTGTTACATGCTTTCAAGCTGTCTCCAACTTATGGTGACACTATGAATGTGAGCCCTCCAAAAAGTCCTGTTCTTGACAGCCCCCCTCAGCTCTTGTAAACTCAAAGCTGTGGCTTCCTTTATGGAATGCAGGCATCTCATATTTGATCTTCCCACTCTTCTCTTGCCTTCAACTCTCCCTAGCATGATTGTCTTCTTGAGTGAGTATTGCCTTCTCATGGTATGCTTGAAGTACAAAGGTTCAGTTTTGTCATTTTTACTTCCAGGGAAAGTTCTGTTAGCACAGGATATTAACAAGGCTCTCCTCTGGCACCATGTTTTCAACTGCTCAATTTCTTCCTGGTAGCTTTTCTCACTGTCCAACGTTCATACCCATAAATAGTGAATACAAAAGAAGGTAGCTGCCAAATATTCCATGTCTTCAAGCTTTACAACATCCTGCAAGTGCATCCTTACCTCCCAGCTGACGATGGACACTTGCCAACGGGCAATTTTGTCTATACTTTCAAGCCTTCGTTTACGTTCATTGATCAGGCAGGCAACATTCTTCATGGTTTCATATGCTGCCTTTATATTGTTATAATCACTGCAAAGTGAAGGTAAGCACAAGTCAGTCATCCAAGCCAAGTATTTTACCACCTTCTTAACTGCATGCCTGCAAATCTAGCCACAATCAGAAACACAACAGCAGACTAGCTGAACTTGGATTCAGAGAGCCAGTTCTCATGCCACAACATGGTGAGAATTAATGCACTTGTTTTTACAGCACCATTTTACTTTATACTTCCCCTACCAACAGTTATGTGCTGGCACTGTTTTTAACCATAGTTACACTAATCAAAGTTAAGGACCTGTAGTCCAGTCTTTTAGCCTTGGGGTAAATGGGCTAGAAACTTTATGCTAGAAACTAGCAACAGATTTCTTTAAAAGTTATGAGAATAAAAACAGTTAACCTTTGGGATCACAAACCACCCAAGTCTTGCCTACATGATGCTGCTTTCAGTTAATAATACATTGATTACCCTAGGTCTGGATGATTGTGGGCACTTTAGAAACTTGTCTGATAACTTTCTGTTAAGAGAAGATTTTGTTTTAGGGCTTTTCCATTCCAAATGAGGTTTTTATTGAGCCATCTCCCTGCCTCAAACATAGATTTTATTGGGATATTTGTGTCCTGATATTATCATCTTCTGTTTGTAGTACAGTAAAACCTTGGATTGCGAGTAACTTGGTCTGTGTTTTGCAAGATGAGCAAAATTTTTTTCTAAATTTTAACTTGATAAATGAGAGATGTATTGCAGAATGAGTATTACATGCGCTTTGCCTGCTCAGTGTCAAGTCACAACTGAGCGCTGGTTCTTCTCTCTCTTGCTGCGGGTGTGAGTACAGCATTGTTTCCCCACCCCCCAAGCATGCCCACTTCAGATTTTTGTGATAAAAATAGTTACAGAATGGATTAACATTATTTACATTGGACCTTATGGGGAAATTCGCTTTGATATACAAGTGCTTTAGATTACAAGCATGTTTCCTGAACGAATTATGCTCGCTATCCAAGGTTTTACTGTATTTTCTTATTTTACCATAGATTTGTCTTTTTTCTTAATTCAAAACATTAAGATGGAATAGTTGCACAATGCCTTTGTAGTGCTAGAAGCTGCTCTTCAAGTATGTTAAGGAATTACTCTAGCATTTAAGGGCCCAAATTGTGGTTTATTTGGTTTATTGGTTTAAGGGCTATGGTTTATTCTATCCACAGTGCAATACTATAGATCTACTGACAATTAAATCCCACTGTTCTCAGTAGGAATTATCCCATAGGAAGCATGTTTAGGAATTCAGACTTAATTCGAAATTTTGGTACAGCTTCAAGATACAGCAAGCAAGTTCCCACAGCATGGCAACCTATCCTGAGTATAAGCGAACGTAGTGTGGCTTGTTTGCAGATTAGGCTACTTTCCTGGTCAATGTCCTTGTGCGTTTCAGCTGTCAAATGGTAACAGATTGCTAAGGCAAGCCTGCATATAGGCTGAACTGTGGACATTTGCCATGTGTCAGTTCAATGTAATCCTCTCAGTTTCTAATGATGAACTGATACTTTTCATTGCTCCTTTTGGATTGTGGTTCCCTGACAACTATCAAAGAGCCATAAGGCGGGTGGCTCAATGGGATGAAGTAAATGAGATTACATTGAAGGGGATGCCCCATCTGATCAGCCCCATTCTTCCACCTTTATGGATTTTTTTACAAAATTAACCTACTCGGAAATGTGAGCTTTTTTCTCTTTTTGGACAGGGAAGTAGAGAGGTATATATAAATATCATACCTGGACTAAATAGAGAAGAAATACTTATAGATTTCAAGGCTCATATATACATGAGTTTTTGACAGTTTTTAAAAGAAAAAGTTTCTTTTAAAACAGGATTTTTCACAGGACTAAACAGGGTTTTCTGACAGGAAAATATCCAACCACATAATCTGTGTATTTCCTTGTAAAACAAATTAACAAAAAAGGACACCAGACAGCATCCAAATGTATTCTTAATCTTTTTATTATTATTTTTGGATTGGTCATGTGTGCACACTTGATAGCCTAGGGCTACGAAATTTGCATCATTTCTCTGAAATTTGCAAATTTCTGCTCTGTTGTGAAATTTGCAACATTTACCTTTCACATTCACCGTGTGTATAGAAGGAACTGGCTAGCATGAGAGGAAAGATGGTGAAACCTGAAAACAGCTGCAGGAAAAGGAGCTTTTTGGGTGGGTGTAATGTGTAGCAAACAAAGCCACTCTTTTAAAGTTATTCCCAAATGTGGAGGATGAAATTGACAAAGACACAGACAAGCTATTGGGATGCTGCCTAATAGATAGGCAGGAGCACTGTGTAAGCTCTCCCAATTCTGTTGTTGTTAAATTTGCAAATATATTCATAAGGGCTCCAAAATTAATTCCATTTGGCAATCTGATGTGGGGAGTGGGAAGAGTTTCCCGTGGTAGCTGCCAGCTGCAGCGGACCCACTGCAGAAAGGGTGCTGATATAGGGACTAAGGAAACAAGGAGTTTTCCTGCAAATGCATTTAGGATACATCCTGGGAGCCAGTGGAAGGGCTGAAACCACAGAAAGACACAGCATGCCCTGTCAGCTGTTGGGTTAGTGAGAGAACAAGGAACTCACGGTAGCTTAATTTCAGGGTGGCTTCAGGGAAATGCTCTTAAGCCAAATAAGACTCTTAGATTTATGTCAGTATAAAGCTAGAAAATAGTATAGACCACTAACTCGAAGGCTTGTTAACATCTAAATACAATTTGAAATGAAAAAGAAGATTATAGTGTGTGTCTTTGTTTTTGTTTGAGCTGCTACAATTCCTTTCTTTTAGCTCATCCTCTATTGTAGGTTTCATTATCTTTTTCCAGATGTCATGCAGCAGGTCTGCCTGTCATATCTTGTTGGCATTTCGCTGGTTGTTTGAAATTTGTGTTACATTTGGCCCTAAAGATGCATTTTTTAAAAAAAGACATTTGAAATGTAACAGTGCAATTCTATGGCTGCTTGTTAGCATCTAGCTAGCCATGGGATTTTTTCAAGTCCCATCTCCAACCTCAAAAACTCACTCTGACACTGAAGGTGTAATACTGAGCTCAGCATGCTGTCCCTTTTCTTGTAAACAACACAGAAGAAAATGCCAGCAGCATGTTACAAACATGACCTTGGAGAAAACGATGAGTGGAGGTCTTGGAAGAGTGAAGGGGACCAGTGCCGCCGCAAACAAGGCATCCTGGTAGCACCCTGGCCTCCTTCCCTCCTGCTCCAAGATATAGCAGTTAGTTGTAACTGGGAGGAGAGCAGAGGCAGCTTTGCCTCTGTGCTCCTGCCCTGCATTGGATGCCTGTAATCCTCTGAGTTCAGAGGCTTACAAGCATCCCAAACTGACTGTGCCCTAAACAGCAGCAACAAAACAATCCCACAATTTTGATATATTGAACAAGTACCAATATTCCAAGCTAGATTTTCATGAATAAGATGTACTACCCACAAGTCTGAAGAACTGTCTAAACTATGTTTTAACTGAAAACATTTAAATAAAGGCTTACCATTTCCTATCCATTCTCTTTGAATGTTCATTTTCCTGCTAGGGTTTTGGAATTTTAGAAATTTAGTGGGAAATTGTAAATCACAGAAAAAAATTAAGTGTTCTGATTTCATTAAATACACACATATGGGAGGTAAGGAAGAGTGGCAGTACAATCTTTCTGCTGTTGCTAATCTGAATTCCTCATGTAAAGCAAAGACAATTGCTCAAACAGTAATCCTTTTGTGTATTCACAGAGTTCAAATGAAATTCTCGACTGAAGGGAAATCTCTGTTCCTTTCTGCACAAAGCTAAGATGTTTCTTTTCATGGAGATTTCTGAGATGACAGTGAACAAGTATTAAGGAATAAACTTGGAGAAGAGGGAAATAGACAACAAAGCCACTCTCCCTCCCACAAGAGTCCCACTCAATTGAATCATGAGCATTGCTAGGCTTTGGGGTGGGAAAGTAGAACTACTGAAGAGGATTACAGCAGTGGAGGACAGTGAAGTGCCATCAGCAGCGCAAGTTCCAGGATTAATTACATATTAACCAGAACTCTAAAGATGATCTTGCTTAATTGGCTCAGTGTCTGAACATTTTCGCAACATGAATGAGAGTTTGCCCTTTCATCAATGATGACGTTGACAGTGTGCAGCAGCTGTTGAAGCTTGTTTTAGATTTAGAGTAGGTTTTCTTGACTGTTCCCTTTTTATTCATTGCACATCAACATCAACTGGGGGCAAATGTATTGTGTATCATAAGAACTGTTTCAAATAAACCAGTAAGTAAGGCATATCTGAATGTATAGAGAAGGTCACATGTTTGGACACATTAGAAGTAGTTCCTGTTGGTATGTTAGTCCATGTGCAGAAAGTTCTTGATATTGGGAAACTTTCAAATACACAATCATCCATGTTCCTTCTGAGGTGATGAAGGACTGTACCACCTAGCAAATGTATTCTCTATGTATTTCTTCAATAATACTTATATACCACTTACCGTAACAAAATCTCTAAATAGTCTACATATAACATTTACATGTTTCTGTTTGTTGTACTACATAAAATTTCAGGGATGAAAAGGCCACAAACTGAACTTCTCAATTGTGCACAGACACAAACAATCTCAAAACAGTTTACAGTTTGCATTTCTTTCAATCTGTGTATTTTTGTTTTGTTTTGTTAAGCTGACATATGCTAATTGTCCTTGTAGTACAGTAATGTCTACTGACTAGCAGTGGCTCTCCAGGAACTCTGGCAGAGAAGTTATTCCAGTTAAAGGGATCAGGTAATTAGTGACAGGAGATTCCAGGACCTGACTCTGGGAGTTTCTGCATGCAGAACACCTGTGCAGTTTGGTGGTTAGAGTAGCCTTTCCCAACCTGATGCCCACCATACGGCCTGTGTTTAAACTCCTTTTGGCCCCAGCCAACATGGGCAGTGTTAGTTCCAAACATTTGGAGGGTACCATGATGAAGAAGGCTGGCTTACAGTATTCGATTTGGACTAGCAAGGATTTCTAGATGGCCTCTTAGCCTAATTTGCCGTACAAGGTTTTTGTGAGGAGCACAGGCTGTAGGCCTGTGGTATAGCCTATGTCCTTCTGTGATTAAGTTTTCCTACTTTCCAATCCTACAACAGTATAATTATTGCAAAAAGGTTAAACATCAAACATCCTGTTCATGAAAATGACAAGCAAACTCCCTATGAATGTAGATAGAAACACAGAAACATAGAAACAGAACGAGTTAGAAGGGGTCTCCTGGGCCATCCAGTCTGATCCCTGGCTCCAGCCAGCTCCACTCATGATATGCCTACCATGTGCATGTCCAGCCTATCCTTAAACACTCTCCCCGATGGGGCTTTCAACCACTTCCCGTGGAAGCCCATTCCATAACTTAGGGGTCCTACCCGACAGGAAGTACTTCCTGGCATTCACCCGAGCTTTTCTCCATTGGAACATGTCCAGCCCTCATCTGCAGAGGGAAAAGGGTCATGATCCACCTCTACGTGACACCCCCTCATATACCTGTATGTCACTAACAGGTCTCTTCTGAGACTCCTCTTTTCAAGACTGAAAAGACCCATTTCCCTCAGTGTCTCCTCATATGGCTTACCCTGCAAACCAGCCACCATCCTTGTGGCTCTTCACTGCACTGATTCCAACCTTGCTATATCCCTTTTGTAATGAGGGGTCTAGAATTGAACGCAATACTCCAGCTGCAGGTGCACCAGAGTTGTATCGAGTGGTAGTAATACCTCTCTCGATCTAGAAGCCACACTTCCGGCTATGCATCCAAGGGCGGTGTTTGCCCTCTTGACTGCTACGTCACACTGCTGACTCATGTTTAACCTGCAGTTGACCAGCACCTCAAGATCCCTTTCACAAGTGCTGCTCTTCATCCAGTTGTCCCCTAACGTGTACTTATGACAATTCCTATGGCCCAGGTGCAAGACCTTGCATTTATCCCCACTGAATGCCATCCTGTTGTCCCTGGCCCACTTCCATAGTCTATCCAGATCCTTTTGGATCCGGAATACCTGCTCCTCAATTGTGGCCACTGCCCCCATTTTAGTATCACCTGCAAATCTTATCAGCAGACTAGTCACCCCCTCTTCCAGGTCACTAATGAAAAGATTGAAAAGGATCGGTCCCAGGACAGAGCCCTGGGGAACCCCACTCATCACCAACTGCCATCTCGACAATTCCCCACTAATAGTTACCCTCTGCTTGCAGTCCGTCAACCATGCCCTAATCCATCGGACAGTGCATTGGTCTATCCCAAAACTCCTCAATTTCTCAACCAGGATATCATGTGGTATGTTGTCAAATACCTCGCTGAAATCCAGGTAAACTACATCAACCACATCCGCTCCAACTAACCACCTTGAAACCCTGTCATAGAATTCCACAAGGTTCATCTGGCAGGATGATAGCTAAGGCTGTACAACAGGTGACCACGTATGTCCATCCCCCATGTAGTTCTACATCCAGGTATAACCACGATAACCAGTCTTCCCCAAGCTGGTGCCCTCCAGATATGGCAGGGCTGCAACTCCAAATACAATGCAAGCTGTAATCCAACACATCTGGAAGACACTATATTGGGAAGGTGGCTGCAATCAGTGTTCCTCTTCATTGAACTATTCAGATATTCTGCAAGTTCTGCATTCCATTCATGCTAATAAAATGTGTACTAGACATGTTGTGCAATCAATACAGCCTTCATTTTAAGTATTAAATGCAGAGTACTTGCACTTCACTTAGTTAATCTCATTAAGAAAAAATTAAGTAATATGTGGATTGTTGTCCAAGGGTACTTTGTTGATCTAAGTCAGTCTCCCGTAACCTGGAGACCTTCATATGTTTGACTACAATTTCCATAATCCCCAGACAGCACAGCATTTGGCCAAGTGAATGCTACCAACAAAAAAGCTGAACTTACCCTCTATTAACTATTACCCTCTAATAGTTAACCTCTATTTTGTCCACTTATCAAGACAGTTTAGAAGTAGTATTACTTCTTCTTCCACTCTCTGACAATTCACGTATGAAGAGGATATACAGATCTGAGTTAGTGCTTATGGAAACCGAATGGGTGGGTAATAATTCTTTTGTGTGAATCCGGGAATGTCCCCTTGGGAGAGAGAGATGGCTGGGTGCACGTATATCATTTGTCTTACCTATGATCTTGAGTTGTGTACTTGAGTAACTCTGCAAGCTGCAAGGGATATTTACAGATTTTTTGTACAGGTGTGAGAAGAAAACCATCAATGGCAATGTCGATCATTTGCTGAAGCAGGCGACAAGCCTCAAAGAAATGGCGGTACTTTCCCTGTTTCATTAGGTTGGAGAGCTCAATGCAGGCACCGGGATGATTGTTGCAGTACTCAGAGTAGATAGCAAAGCCTTCTTGCTAAAAGAAAAACAGCAAAAGTCTGGTTAACATATTGAAACATGCTGCCTGTATTTTTAACGTATCAAGGAAGGGATTAAAAGGGGTGTTTTCTAGTCCCCACACAACCAACCCCTTTATCCTGTGTTTCTTCCACACTGCTTGGAATTTCTCAGCAATACTGATGACAGACAAAATACAGATGGACATGGGAAGAGAATTCCACCCCCTACTATACACATGCACTCCTCATTCTGCTTCCCCTTTCATATTTTTCATCTGAAAATTCCACAGAAAGAGAGAAATGATGCAATGAAGAATGAAGGAGAGGTAGTTTCTCACCCTGCCCCTCAATCCTGAAATGCACGCATGAAGAAGATGGACACAAAGGGCTGTATGAAGGAGAAGGAGACAGGGAAATTCTCAGTAATACCACAAGTGAGAAGGATTTGGGGATTGTTGTAGATCACAAGCTGAATATGAGCCAACAATTTGATGTGGCTACAAAAAGGGGAAATGTTACTTTGGGCTCTATTATCAGAAATCATACAATGTACTGGTTCCCCACTGCACAGCACTATCTAGTCTCATCATGAGTACTGAGTCTAATTTTGGGCACCACAGTTTATGAAAGATGTGGACAAGCTGGAAAAGGTTCAGAGGAAGGCAACAAAGATGATCAAGGGACTGGAAACAAAGCCCTGTGAAGAAAGATTGAACGAACTGAGCATGATTAACCTTGAGAAGTGAAGATTGACAGGAAATATGATAGCACTCTTCAAGTACTTGAAAGGTTGTCATTCAATGGAGGGGCAGTATCTCTTCTCAATCATTCTAGAGTGCAGGAGATGGAACAATGGGCTCAAGCTACAGGAAGTGAGATTCTAGCTGGACATTAGGGAAAGGTTGCTGACTGTTAGAGCAATGTGACAATAGAACCAATTTTCTAGGGAAGTTGCAGAGGCATTCAAGAGTTATTTATTTATTTATTTATTTATTTATTTATTTATTTATTTATTTAAAGCTTTTATATACTGTCCCATTACTGACATCTTAGGACTGTTTACAACAAGCTGGGCAGTCATTAATTAAGAATGTTTTAATACGGAGTCCTGTACTGTGTGTGTGTGTGTGTGGGGGGTAACCAACAGGCATCCTGGCCCTTTCCAAATCTAGTATTCTAGGATTCTGTATGAAACAAAACAATTAACTAAGTTTCAGGTCATGAGGTATGGCCTTATTCTAGCCATGGCAGAAAGACCTATCATAAAAGTGATGCTGGTATTTGCAATTGTTTTTGTAAAAGAATAAAAACCTGTTTAGATGGAGGAACTGTAAAACTGGGGAGATTCCTTAAGGGATGTACTGGGATTCAATTCTGCAATGTTATCATACTGTTTTCAGTCCTGGCTTCAAGAAAACCACCTTTCTAGCATAACAGTTGTTATTCAGATTAAAGCTGTAGCATTAACCAACTTACATGCTGAAGAAAGCAGGACCCTATTTCACTTAAGTGGGGTTCTTCTTTGTTGTACTGCTTCTCTAGATCTTTCAAAAACTTTCTTTGGAATTTGTAAATGTCTTCAATATTTCCAAATATGGTATTTAGTTGGGCTTCAGTGAACATTCCTGTATGTTTACGACACTGCCGAATGTACCCCTAGAAATGACACAGCACGACTTTTAATATTTGTCAAAGCAGTAAAAGAGATTAAGAAAAGTGCTGCATTGAATAATAATTTATTTTGCTTGCCAATGCTAAAAATTCAATATTGACCCTTCCTTACTTCTCCTTTGCAACCCTTATTCATAGGGAGTAATAATGCTAAATGTTCAATAATCAATCTCCAAGTTCGTGGTAGAACTAATGTGCCAAGCATCCCCAGACACCACCTCATATACTAAGCCTATAATGAGAGTAATCATTCTGCTACTCATTTCAAGCAAGTAACAATTGCTACAAGAGAACATCTGAAAAGAAAACTGCAAGTGGCTGCCAAAGTGCAGTATTACATTTCCCAGCCAAGAAACACAAGTGCAATGCCATGGTAGCTGGACTCATGCCTTGGTCTTCTTGAAAGAAAAACGTAGCCGTGTTGTGAAAAAGGTAGCCATGCATGTGTCTCCCGTTTCTCCACTTTACTATTTGATCAGTTGCTTTTGTAAGATGAGGAAACTTACTTCTGTGAAGGACCAGTAATGTATAAGAAAAATCATTCAGAACTAGGGCCTGCAGTGTGCTGTGGCTGAACCAATTAAGCCAGAGCCATGGCTAATTGAGTAAAAGCTATGATCTCAAATGACAGTAACTGTGACAGCCACAAGAGAATTTTACCATGCAAATGTTAATTGGAGAAGTTTTACTACTAGTGAAATCCCCCAGAGGCTCTGGTACTTGCATTGCATTTTTATGATTTGTTTTTATGGATTGTATAAACGGCCCAGAGAGCTTCAGCTGTGGGGTGGTACAGAAGTGAAATAAATAACAATAAAAACAACCAGTTCACCAAATGGTTAGAGGCATGAGCATTAATTATTGGTTCTTCTCTCTCTGCCTGTGTGTCTATTTTATCACTACGACGACGACTGCTGCTATTACAGTTATACCCCACGTTTGCCTTCCCCACTTCCCACCTTCCCCTTCCTCCCCTGCCTTCCTCAGTCTGATCTTTCATCTGACCTCTATTTTTCTGTAGTATCAGGACATTCTGTTAGCCTTTCCCCCCTACTTCTCCTAGTACTCTGTCTGACCTCTTTTTTCCCATACAAACGGATGGCTCAGTACTTTCTTTATTGCCATTTCCCCTGCTCTGGGTGCACTGTGTAGCGATGGGACAGCATTTCTCTCTAACGAACACACAACAGAAGAGGCAGTCCTGAGAGGTAAGAGCATGCCCACAGCACCTGAAGAGCTGGGCAACACTACAGGTCCCTACCCTGGCCCACCTATGTCCCATGGGTTCCTCATCCCAAGAAAGAACTTGTTCTCCTTTCATAAAATAGGTATTTTTCTCTTTCATTCTTCTCTTGTATTTTTACCTCACAGATGTCCTTGAGGTGTTTGATATAGATGCGTTCTGTATTCATTATTTCTTGAATCACATTCGTTCTCATCTGATCCTTGTTTTCTGCTATTTTTTGGCGGTGCTTTTCAGGGTCTGCATTTGATTCTTCATCTTGGAGACTACCACAGTTTTCTGTAAGCTCTTCTTGATTGACCCGAAGCTGGAATCAATGAGGAAAAACAACAACAACAACAGTGATGAAGAAGTACATTTGTAGATAAGAGAGCACTAGAAACACAAAGTTAGTCACTAAAGAGCAAGGAATTTAAATTGATTTTTAAAATACACATTAAAAGTATGTGGTACCGCCTCTAAGACCCACATGGTTGGATTAGATCAGAAACAGAGGCTATGTGTTTCTTGTCTGCAGGAGGTCTCAGCTTCACCTCCTGGCATCTCATTAAGAAAGGACTAGGGAAAAAGGGTGATAGGAAAAAGACTTTCTGAGACTTTAAAGAACATTTGGCAAATAGAGCAGATTAATCAGTGGTTCAGCTAGAGATGGAACATGAAGTCAAAATTCAGAGTTCCAGAGGCCAGGAGTGGGGAGGAGCAAATGAGAGCAGGAAGAAATAAAAGTATCAGGGCAGCTTTCATCATCCACTGTTGCTGTTCCTTAACTGCACCACTGTAAATAGTAATGGGCTAAAATGGACAAATAATCTGTCATGGTATAAGAGAGCCCCCTATGTTCTTTGAGGTTACTCTACTTGAAGCCCCACTTCAATTAATTAGGATTTATTCAATCTTGGAATTCAGCTCACAAACTGTCTGCTGTCCATGCACGCACGTTCTGAAGGAAAATAAAAGCCAACTTTTGTAAATTTTATTCTTTGGTAATCTGGAGGAAATTGTTCTTCACTACAGAGGCTAATCAGGCAAATGGCTATTTACAGCCTTGTACCTTTGTATATTGTCACTGCAAACACATCTTTAAAAAAACTTCCTGAATTAACCTTATTACACAGATACCATGTGAATGCACTGTAAGTGGAAAAAAGCTGACCATCCTTAAAATCTTGATTAGGTACCCATCCTTTAAGTGCATTGATTTGGATTTTGAAGAAGTAAATGAGTCAAGCAGTGGTTTTAAGTCATTTGTTTTCTAAAAGTGTAGATTAAGTGAGTTTAAAATGGCTAAGATCAAATGAATGATCTAAATAGAGGTTCCCAATTAATATCACCCTGTCTTCTATAGAGATACCTTTTAACCTTATACTAACTGCTAGCTTTTATTGTAGTCTTTTAAAAGTGATTCATTATTTATACTGTAAGTTAAAAATAACCCCAAGATTCAGCAACTTGGAACACTTAGTATGTGGGTATTTGATGGCACAAAAAGCCCTGTGCCATTCAAAAGATTACTTCAGGAAAGGAAAAAGTTGGTTTTGATTTCCATTTCACTGAAGCAATAGTGTAACATACTAACAGTCCTCAGTGTATGTGAATGTGTAACATTCTGGGATTTAAACACACTGTTAAAGCAAAGATACTGAAGAGTGTTCCTCATTAACACAAGTTGATCAATCAAATGAAAGTTTTAAAACCACATTCAGGAAGTGTGATGCCATTCTGAAACCACTATCTCATGGTTCTTCCTTTTTGTCTTAGCCATTTATTCCCTTTCTTACAGAAACAGAACTATGGCACAGCCCCAAACACCAATATGACAAAATTTAGAGAAAGGTTAGAGCCTTAGCAAAGGACTCACAAGTTTTACTTTTAAATGACTAGTTAAAATTGACTTCCCATGTTACACTGGACTTTTTAAAAGCACTGCATTGACAGTGGTTGGCAGACTAGGTATGTACATGGTTACAGATGGTCAATCTATTAGGTTTAATTTTAAAATATATTTTCCATTTTTACAACAAAATGGTGGTTATTCCCAAGCAAATGAGTTTAACATCAGGGCAACAGAAGCAAACTCCATTTTATTCCCATGATTGTGCTATAAGTGAATTCAAAATGAAAAACTGCCCATGTGTACTTAAAAAAAAATCACAGCTAGCAAACAGATTTTTCAGTCTTTAACAAATAAGGGATGCAGAAGCAGTTGTGAAGTCTGAAAAGGCTGGGGAAGTAGTAGTGAGAGAAGAGAACTGTACATTGTGAAACTATGTGCTGCCCAAACTCGTGGTCATCTAACCTTTCCCCAAGCTCTCTGGTAAACTTGTTAAATCCAGGCAACAACTGCTTTATCGAGCTTCTCCGACCTGGTGTTGTCCGAATGTTTTGGATTTCCACTTTCATCAGTGCTAGCTGGCATGGCTAATGGTTAAGAATGATGGGAGTTGTGATCCAAAACATCTGGAAGGCATCAGGTTCAGGAAGGCTATGCTGTATCTATGTTTTCTAGAGACAGAGCAAACACAACAAAGTAGAGAAGCAAGACTTTTTAGATGGCAATGATCTTAAGAGATTTACAGGAAGTCAGAAAAATGAACACGAAAATAAAACAATGTATCAGTGGAATCTGACTGTAACAGTTAGAAAGGAAGCAGTATTGCTAAACTTGTGCAATGTACAAGCTGCCCAAGGTTGCAAAGAACACCAAAGTAGCACAAAGCTTGTTTTACTCACCCTGACAAAGCTAGCTGGAAACCAGGCTTGCTTGTCTTCATTTTTCCCCCACCACCAATCCTTGTTAGAAGCTTCAAGCACTTGGATGACTTCCCCAGCTTTGAAGGCTAACTCCTGATCATCCATTGTCACGTGATCCCAGAGTGCCTCAGCATAGACCACGTTCCCATCACTTATCAACTGTAACAGAAACATTTGGTAAAAGGCACAGATTCTGCCAGGATGGCCAAACAATCATAGAGGTTAAGTAGCAATGTCCAGATGTGAGCAGCAAGTGCAACTGACAGTGATACTGAGCCAGTTTTCTTAAGCTTTTCTAGATATCCTCTGCAAGAAATACCTCCTTTTTCAAAATAGCAATCCAACTACATTATTCATATATTATCAATAAAAGTACAAGAATAGATTATGGACCCAAAGATCTGATAATTCTCCCATTTAACTTAAATAAGCAAAAAACATTCAGGCACAAATGTGTTCACCTCGTTAATGGCTAGCTGCTCCCCTCCAGGCTGCAGGTATCTTGGGCTGGCTTGGCAGAGTTCTTCATAGCTGTAATCCTCCTCACTGCCATTGTCATCCACTAAGGCAGAAGATTCAGTACCACCATCTGCAGCACCTGATATAAATATAAAATATCAAGTCATCAAATATACTCAGAGCCTTCCTCTGTGACATTTTAAAAACATCCTTACAAAAAGGCATGGATCCCCAATTTTCTGCATCTCATAGCCACCTAATGTGATCTGTGAAAACTATGAGTAAAGGAACAACTTAGGGCAGGATCTACCTATTATATAGAACAAATAAAACACTGTGGTGCAGAGTATACCTGTTTTGTCTTCCAGCTTGTCATGACTTTGTCCAGACTGCTCCATTTTATTTCCCCCATCCGTCTGCTAGTCAGCATTCCATGCCCACTTAGGCTTTTTCCTGCTAATTATTATTATTATTGTTGTTGTTGTTGTTGTTGTTGTTGTAGCTTCCCCAAACCAGCTGGGTTAAACAACCCTCACAAAACTCATGGGCTGTTTAGGGCTATGTGAAGGCTATTTAAGCCTCATGTGAGTCATCCTTATCAGGGTTGCACAACATGGTAAGCCACACTACTCAGCTGCCATGGGTTGAATATTCTGAGGGGTAACTGGCATGCACTGCAACCAACCATGGCCAGAGTGGGCTGTGATGATCATGTGGACCCAACTGGTTCTTGTTTGCCAGTAGCTTCACAATGGAACACCCTCTAGGGAAGCTTGCCTGGCACTCCCACTGCTGTCCTGCCACCGGGCTAAGGTATTTTAGTTCCCCTAGGCCCGTTAAGATACTGATTGTGATACCTATTAAGGCTCTTTAAAATAGTGATTAAGAGACTGTTGATACTGATTGTGGTTTTGCCTCCTTTGGTTTGCATTGCATATTATTGTGTTACCACTTGTGTAGTGGATTTCTGAGACTCGCTGCTAGATTTTTCTATTGCATTATCGTTCTATCTTAAAGTGGACGCCAACAGACATTTCCTAGTCTAAATAAATAAATAAATAAATACCCAACCATTAGAAAAGAATATAGGATATTGCTTTATACTGAGTCAGACCATTAGTCCATCTAGCCCAGTACTGTCAACATTAACTGGCAGCAGCTACCAGCTGTACCTGGAGATGCCATGAATTGAATCTTTTACATGCAAAGCATGCACTCTGTCATGGAACCACAGCCCCTCTCATTCCTACTGCAGAAATTCATGGACATATCAATATGATGTGTGGTATATGTAAGAAAGAGTGGCATAAAGAAAGCAAGACAGAGGAAATAGAGCCTAATAAAGAAGACAATTGTTCAGAGAAAATTCCAAAAAACGCAAGAAACTCAAGGAATAAAACCAAATAAATCAGCAATTTTCAAAATGTTGGATTGCTCCCAGGAGTAGATTGTAATACATGATGAAATACATAAAATTAAAGCAGAATTATCAATAATATTCTTCATATAAGGATGAGAGCAGAAGTAACTACAAAACCGGATGTTCTCATGTTAGGGGAGCTCACAGCAATCACAGTAGGCTATATTTTCACATGATGTGGGATTCTGGTAATTTCAATAACAAGCAAACTTGCCTTTGACTAGCAGAATGATCAAGTACAATCCGACTTGATAAGCCATGGGTAAACAAGTGTAAGTGCAACAAGTGGCACACGCAACTGAAGTGGCACACTGGGTCCTGATGCAGGAGGGCCACTGGGTCTGGTTAAGAAGCATGAGTAGGCCTGCATTCCTATTGAGCTCTCCAGAGCTGCACAATCACTGGCACACAAATTCTGCCATCTGGAGGCAAAACCACACCAAATCCTAGTAGTGCTCTGTATTGTTCACTAGGGTAGTGTTTCCTTATATTTAGTGAGTGGCAAAAGTTGGCCACCAGATGATCATGATAACACAGTATAACAAAAATGCCTTCAATCCAGTCCTTTCTTCTGTTGTTTTGAGATTTACCCTTTTGATCTCTCAAGCATCCCTTAAATACAGGATTATGAATAGAAATACAAAGTTTATGAACTCACAAAAAGGCATACTTTTACAGTATCAATATACTAGAAATCCACTTCCATGAAAATTTGTAAATAATTCCAAGCCTAACACTGCATTTGGAAGATTTCATCATCTACCTCATTTATTTATTAACAACCATAATATACAAACATAATACAATAGGAACATACAGAAAAAAACTAATGTAAATAGCTAATTTGGAGCTCCTTTGCAATATGTAAGCTTACATTCTGTATAGCAAGCTTATTATCTCTTGCTCTCTGTAGCCATTTCTCTATTGTTTACTGCCTCAAATAAATATGCAAATATGAATGGGTAATTCTTATCTCTTTGATGGAATGTCAAAACTAAAAGCAAACAAACTGGTTTTCATCTCATTTTGTTTTTCTCTGTTGGTCTAACTGCTAGCTAGTGTTGCGAACAATAGAATTATTTTATATCTGAGTCAAACGCCTATGATTATAGCAGTGCAAAGCATAAATAACATAGATAATAAATAGAGCTTATCTCCCAAACATACCTATCTGAAGACTCTCCAGACTCCAAAACCGGGCCATTTCCCTTCTGGCTACCATCCTGCTCTCCCAAAACCAAGCACAATGCAGTGCTTGGTTTTTAAAAGGTAAGGTTTAGTCCTTCCAAAGAGGTGGTGGTGGTGGTGGGGGGGGGGGAATCACCGAGAACCAGGGAGGCTGCAGCTACTGGAAATGCAGAAACAGCTTATTCATCGCTTTGAGCTTCTGTTTGTGCATTTCAGGCCAGAGACTACTACAAAACTGACAGCTCACTCCCTGTTCAGAGTAGCTGTGAGTTTAGTGCTTTCAGTGACATCATGGGGTACACTTAGGGAGGAAGTTACAAACATGGACATACACAAGTGTACACAGTGTTTAGCCACATAATGTATGCACAGTTTCCCCATGCCTTAAATGCCTCCATATTTATTATTTTTCTTCAGAATTAGACATTTGCTGCACATTCAGGGATGTCTCTTTTCACTCCAGTCACTCCAATCTAAAGGAAAGGACTCCATTGCTAAATAGCTTGATATTTCTTTCTGTTCCTCAACATATATAGAAAATGCACCATTTGGTGCAGGTTGTGTAGGTACAGCTTTATTTTCAAATGTTAACTAAAATTTTAAGTTTTAAATATAATAATGTAAGTCTGTTGATTTTCACTGTAGCTGACTGTAAGGCAGTGTCTTGTGTGTGTTTCCCTAACTCAGTTTCTCAGCAAGCCCAACAGGTTAAGCTCTGCACCAAAGGCTTAAGTACCAGCCTACCTGAACATTATCAGCTGACCCCACAGGTCAATGCTTTTTTAAAAGCAAGTCTCTCCTCAGGGATTACTCTTTAGTTTGAGCAACTCATCTCAAGTATGATTACTCAATTGCTTCTCCCTCTTCCTATTGGCAGTTTTAGATAACATCCACCGCCTGACTTGACCTTGCACTTCCTTCTAGCCTTTTCAGGTAGATATAGCTCTTTCAAACCTTGGTTTCAACTTATGTTTCTGCCTCTGGGCCTCAGGTCCTGTCCTGCTTTGCTGCAGTATTTACTTTCTCCTTGCTTCTGACCTGTATCTGGTCCTTGAATCCTGATCTGTGAACTTAGCCTTGTCTGATCTGGATAATACCTTCATCTTGCTCTGCTCTTATCCCTAATTGACAGAGTTCTGGGTTTCAGCGCTTAACAACTAGGAAAAGATACCAGTACAATACCACTGTCTACCAGGTGTGAAAACACTCACTCCGGCTGTGAAATAGCAAGAGTGATTTCTCCCCTTAGAGCTCCAGTGCAACCCAGGGCAGTATCCAACATGGCCACTTATGCAAGTGATATAGTGCTAGCTTAAGCAACCTCTACTATGCCAGTGGTATAAGCCACTATCACAGATTTTCCAGGAAAACCTATCATGGGCAGCTTCCAGGATTGGGATGGCACTAGAGGCTGCTTCCACTATCACTAGGTCACTTGCTTAAGTGCAGAGTCCCTATTGGATATTGCTCTTGATTCCCTTCAAATATTTTGGGCTATTAAGTCCTGTAAGTCCTGACAGACAGCCACGCTGGCTGGGGCTTATGAGAGCTGCAATCCAGACTATCCTGTTTACCTAGCTATCCTATAGTGGTTCTAGCCCTAATCCAGCTTCAATAGCTCAGTTGCCAGGCAAATATGATAAAGATGCCCAATCTTGCTTTAGAAGTAAAAGTTTTGCCACAAAAGAAGACAGTGTTCTTTTCTTTAAAAAATTAAATTACAACTCTGAGAGATGCTCTAATGCTTGAGGGATGGAATATACCCTATTCAGTGAACATACTCTATTTTTTGATTAAAAAACATCTTTAAAAGGCAAGGAGTTTGTTGCAATGGTGTAATACCATATTTGGGAGAATATTTTTAATAGATTATATACATTAGGTTCATTTTTTAAATGTTAATATTTTTCCTGTTTTTCAATAGTGTAATTTCTGTGGGTTGGGGGAGGGGATAATACTATAAGCAAACACTGAAAACTATGCATAATTAAGCCTGTAAGAGGAAAAATTACAGTGCAATGACATAGAACAGGAGCATAAAACATGGCATTGGGGTCTAAAAATTAAGAGCAGCCTCAAAACAACACAGAAGTTTAAATGCTTGAACAAACTAAAAGTATATTAGTATAGTGCCAAAAGTATATTAGTATAGAAAGTATAAAGTGTATTAGACCAGGTACTAGGCAAGCACCCCTGAAGGGAGCATTCCCAAGGTTGGCTGCCACAACTGAGAAGGCACCACTAAGCTTACTTCAGAAGGCATGTAAAATGTCCAAAACATTTTTCTTTAAAATCTCCCAACTCAATTGTGCAACTTGTACAGGGAACACAATGAAGTGGGAAGTTTAGAGCATTGCTCAGTTGCAACGGGCAACCAACAAGAACTGTTCTCATATTTGTGCAATCTGCCCTGCTCACTCTTCTGAAAAGATTGATTGATTGATTGATTGATTGATTGATTTATATCCTGCCTTTTTCCTACAAAGGGCTCAAGGCAGCTTACATCTCCTCCATCTTATCCCCACAACAAC